TCATTCTGGAATAAGATATCTGTATGCCTTATGGATAATTAATATTATATTTTATGTTGTACTACAGTGGTACTTACGAATTTAAGAGAACTGGCACCAGAGCTGAATTAAGATTAAGATTAGATTGAACATGACTTGCATAGATGTAATTTGGATGCTTTTTTAATTTTGTGTTTTGGTTTTTCTTGTGACATGTCATTATTTATTTAGGTAGATGTTGCAAGTAATATTATACCAGTATTATTTTTAGCTATTGCTTGCTTTGTTTACTATTGTGCTCTTAGAGATAAAAATGTTGAAAGGGTCTTTTCTATGTGAAAATTAAAAAACAATTGACATTGAAATGTTACTATTTAAAAATATCATATAGGAGATGAAATGCTACTAGGATTGCTAGGTCCTGCTCGTTAGTGTGTCCCTAGTGAGTAGTTTCATGTCTCACATTATAAACATTTAATATGCACATGGATTGTCATGACTTTTACAAAAAACATATATTTTGCTTAGAGTAATAATTTTTCTGTGCATTAAAATGGTATAAAGCATTATTCCAAAACAATCCCATCTAAAATCCATGCATTTAGGAGAAGTTTTTACTCTCTTCAAATACCCAGTCCCTTTGTTCTGGGGGTTTCCGTCTGTGGCCAAACGTACCCTGTGTACTTTAGTTGTGTTTCTTCCCATACAGCCAGATGGCCAGTTTACACAGCCTGCGCAATGCTGGCGGTTACAACAGATGCTGTCTTTACTACTCATGTTTCACAGTTGAAAAACTAGGAAAGAGAGAAATACATTTGTTTTCTCTCCTCCTTTAGTCAGTAAGTGCTGTAAGTTTTTGTTTTGTTTGTTTTTGTTTTGGGGTCCCATGTAGCCCAGACTGACCCTGAACTCCCTATACAGCCTTAGGTGACCCTTGAACTTTTGATTTTCCTGCCTCTACCTTCCAAGTGCTGGGATTGCACCTAGTGTGTACAGTCCTGGGCACTGAACCCAGCACTGTTCATGCTAGCTACACTACTGTGTAGCCGCATGCCGAGCCCTCTGTCTGTAATACTGAAAGATTTTAACTTTCAGCCAGTTTTGATGGCTCATACTTTTAATTCTAGCACGTAGGAGTTTGAGGATTGTCATTAGTTCAAAGCTAGTCTGGGTTGCGGAGTTAAACACACACCTACCCCCCTTGGGATTAGAGATATAGCTAGCTTGGTGCCAGAGCATTTGCCTAACATGTGCACGGTCCTAGGTTCAGTACCAGAACTGTCAGAAACTTAATAACAAAATTTTATTTTGTTATGCTAGTTACATTTGAGAAATGTAGTAGCAACTAGATATTTGGAGTTAGTTTTTCTTCAGACATATTTTTCTGAGCAGTTGAAGTTTGGTGCAGATTCCATCAAGCCTTTTTCTTCGCTTATTACTAAGTAGAAATAAACATCCAGAAAACAAACATTTGGGAACAGAACAGGTTTAATTGATTTTAACATACATGTAATTTTATTTATAACTCTGTAGACTGCTGTTTCACTAAATAATATGTCCTTGAGATCTTTCCTAACTATGTATTTAGATCTTTCAGGGTGTTTGTTTGTTTGTTTGTTTGTTTTTGTAGCCCAGGGTAGTCTTGAACTCGGTACCCTAAAGTCTTTCAAGAGTCTCCTGTTTCTGCCTCCCAAGTGTTGGTTGGTATTAGAGGTCTTTGCTACCCCAAAACCTACTTCTAGTTTTTAGATTTTTCTCCCCCCTACGCTCTGTTTCTGTCTGTCTGTCTCTGTGTGTGTGTGTATGTATTAAACCCACAGCTACATTCTCAGCCTATAGGTCTTTTCCCCCCAAAGTATTTGTTGTATTTCTTAGTTCAAGTAATACAAGTGACCTATTTTTGTTTCTTTTCTTTTTTCTTTATAAGTAGAAATTCTAGGTCTGGTGTGGTGCAGGAGGTAGGGACAGGCAGGTCTCTGTGAAGTCAAGATCAGCCTAGTCTATACAAAGAGTCCTTGGCCAACCAGGGTTCTACATTGAAACCTTGTCTAAGAAAAAAACAAAGAACCTACTACATTGAGAATGGAAGGAAATCTTAGGGTGTAGTCTCACAGGAATAGGCTGAGTAAATCAGTAAAGAGGGTATTCACCTACATCCTCTGAGGAGTCTGTTGTTTTGTTATTATTGTTGTTTTTTTTTTGCACAGGTAGAAGTATTTTTCTCTGACAAATATTTAAAATGATAGAGTATGCATATTTTAACTCAATGTAATAGTAAAGTAAGTGTTTGGTAAATATAGACTAAATGGTAGGTAGTGGATGTGTAAGGTACTTTTAGTGTAAGCTAATTGGCTTTGTTAATGCATCTGTACATGTCAGTAGAGCTGTGTTGTTGGTTTGAGGCCAAGAGTCAGTTGTAATATTTCTTATCCTGGCAGTTGTACAGGGTAAGGGAAAGCTTGGATGGGAGCAGTTAATCCCTTTAGTGTGGACAGTGTGTTGCCTCTTAGGACTCAACCTTGGCCTCGGGTTTAGGAGAGAACTTGTCAGTTGCAGAATTGGTGTGTATTTGAACTCACAAAGGCTGGCAACATGCACTGAGCCTTCATGTGTCTAAGACAAAGGAGGAGGTGACGCAAGCCCAATACCTAACCCAATATCTCTAATTGATAACCTCTCACAAAGGAATAATTGTTTTCCCCAACGGAGCTTTACTGGGTATACAGACCCCTATTAAGGACAGAACCCATGCCAAGCAGTGGATGACTAACACAAAAACTCAGTGGCATTTTTGAAAGATCTTTGTCTCATAATGCTCAATCCTGATGTGTTTAGAAGGCTTTGTTTCCTTGGTGTCCTCCATCCTTTCTGGCTCTTCTACAGTTTCTACCTCCTTTTCTGCAGTGTTCCCTGAGCCCTGAGTGGGGGAGGGATTTGATGGAAACATCCCCTTTAGGATTGAGTGTTCTGAGGTCTCTTACTCTGCACATTGTCCAACTGTGAGTATTTGTTCCCATGTGCTACAAGAACAATGATGGCTGAATAAGACATTAATTAAACTGCTGGTGGTGGTGCACGCCTTTAATCCCAGCACTTGGGGAGGCAGAGGCAGATGGATCTCTGTGAGTTTCGAGGACAGCCTGGTCTACAGGGGCTAGTTCCAGGACAGCTAGGACTGTTTGTTACACAGAGAAACCCTTTCTTGAAAAACCAAACCAAACCAAAAACAAACAAAAAGGTGCTGAACTATGAGTATAGCAGAATATCCCTAGGAGTCATTTTGTTGGCTACATTCCTTTAGAAGAACAGTAGTAGTATTTGGATTTCTGCCCTCTCAGGTTCCTGGCTACCCAAGCAGTGTTGCATATGGATTCCATCACATGTACCGAGTCTTAAGTCCATCAGATAGTAGTTGATTACTCCTACAAGTTTTGTGCAGCGATTGCACCAGTGCATCTTCCAGGCAGTTCACCATTGTCAATGGAAGGGCTTGTAGCTGGCTTGGTGTTTCCCTTTCTCCTCGGGTAGCATGCAGAGAACCTTCCAGTGTCATGAGCACTAGTAGTAGGAATGAAGACTCTAGTTAGGCACCAGTTCAACTTCTTGGTGTACAATAAGGTGTGTAAGTGCTGTCTTCAGTAATGGGAGCAACTAAAAACCTTGGCAATAGGCTGGGTTGTGTGAGGTTGTCCTTGGGTCACCTTTGGCCAGAAACTCATTAGATTTTACCAATTCCTGGAGCATGAAGTTTGGTTTAACGGTGGGATGTTCTGTTGGATTTTGTAGTTTCTCACTCTTGAGCTGTTTTATGTTTTAGGGCCTGGTTTTGTTTTTGACTTTGGCCCCATTTCTAAGGAAGTCTGGAGAACGTAGACTAACCAGACAAACTGGTGTCTTTTTCTCAGTTCCTGTAAAGTGTAGAACCCTAGCGAGTCATCTAACTTCTTCGAATTAACTTGAACGCCGTCCATACAGAGATCTATTTGAGGTTTTCTTTGGGTGTCTAGCTTTAGAAAGTATGTCTGGATAGCTGGAAACCTGTATTTCCCTGGTTCTATGTTTGGTGCTAAATTTAATTGATTGGATAGTAAGTTGGGCTAGTAAGAAATTTATTTGAAAAATTCAAGCAGACCAACTCTGGTCCTGAGTTTAGAAAGTGAGAATTTGGGGAAAACTAATAGACAATTTATTGTGGGTGTACGGAAATGCCATATACTGCAGGCCAGTAACACAAAAGGTTGTGCAAACCTTTCCAGAGAGCCGCAAGTGGTTCAACTCAAACCCAGAACCAGGATTTGAGAGATGAAGGGTGTTCCCTGTTTGCATGTGTTGACAGAGTTGTACAAATACATTTATCCTTTGTAGATGACAGTGATCACAATGCTCTGTTAAAGTTGTTAGGACTTGAGAAAGCTGGTATAAATTACAAGCTTCTTTTTAAATGGTCCAAACTGTTTTGTAACACAAACATTAACAAGTTATATTTTGTAGAGCTGGGGAGTTTTCATATCATAAACCAGAATTTCCCTAGAAGTTACCACTTTGGCATTTCTTGTATCAGGAAATGAAGTGTTCTAACTTTTACTAGCTGTTTGTTAACTTACAAGTAAAAATGGTACTATATATTGACCTCACCACTCATTTTTGACAGTTTTGTGTTTATCTGTAATCTATGGCAATTGTTTTTAGAGCAAATGTCAAAACAAACAAGCATTCCACTCTGACACTTAAGACAGCATTCCTTTCACATAAGATTTGCTTTCCCCCCCTTTGGTCCTGTGTATATTTTACTGAGGATAAATTTAGTATTTCAAAAAATGGTTTACAGCCCTTTGCTGATTTTATTCTTACCATAAGAATATAACTGAATTTTAAAAGTTCCTGTAAACACTTTTTGAAAGATGCAGTTGCTCTCAGAACTTTATTTTGTGTGAAGGTACCTGCTTTTAGCTCTTTGAAATAATACAGATGAGGTTTTTGTGTGCATTGGTTTATAGTAAAGGAGAATGCCTTTCTTCTAGGGTCCTGATGAAGAAGCCGTTGTAGATCTTGGCAAAACTAGCTCAACCGTGAACACCAAGTTTGAAAAAGAAGAACTAGAAAGTAAGTTCATTTAAAATAATTTTTTAAGCTTAGCAGGGAGATGACCAGCTGATGCCTGCCAGTGTTCTTAAGTTACACTTTTTTTAAGTTTTAAGTTTTTCCTGCTTCTGGAAACATTGTTGTAGTCAGTGTTTGTTTAGAAGACTACTGAATACTTCTGTGGTGTAGCACAATGAATAATATTGTAGAAGATATTCTTACCTATGGTCCCGAGTATTTATTCTTTGCTGAATTATTGGCATAGATAGATTTCATAAAGCCTTTCCCATCTCATTGATTACTTGCCATTACTTCGAAAAATGAAAGGTAATGATTACAAAATGCGCTTGTCCCTTCCCCACACTCTTGGTGGACTGAGTGGAGCACCAGATTTGAAGCCACAGCATCCTTAGTTGTCATCAGTGCTCAGTGGTGCTGCAGTGACCAGCACTTACAACTGTGCAGCAGACGAGCCCTTTGTCCTCCTGCATGAGAAGAGATCCTATTAAACAGTTTTTCTTCTTTGTTAGGTTTCAGAAATAGTTTTGGAGTTATAGAATGTCAGCATACACAGTACAGAACATTTCTGCGTGTACCTTATACAGGTTCATCTAACGTTAAGAATATTATTTGTGAAATTGTACCATTTGTGAAAATACAGAAGTTGACACTGAATAATTCGAAAAGGATTTGCTTACAGTTTCCTAAGCTGCAGCTTTTATTTGGAATTCATTGATTTTTCTATTAATGGCTATTTCTGTTCTGAGGACCCAGTTATGTCTCCCTAGTCTCCTATAATGCATGTGGGTTTCTCATTCTGACCTAGTCTTCATGACAGTGGAGGAGGAGTGAGTGGGTGTGTGCTTTGTGCAGGGCCCTCAGTTTGCAGTCCCCATCTCTGTGCAGCAAATCTATGGATATGATATCACTTATTGGTGAGTTAATGTGGGAATTTGACTAAACTGGTGTTTGTGGCAAAGTTTTCATAGACACTTTATTAAAATTTGCCACTCATTTATCAGGCTTTTTTTGGGGGGGGGTGGTGGGGTGGGGATGGGGTTTCAAGGCAGAGTTTCTCTATGTAGCTTTGGAGCCTGTGCTAGAACTCCATCTGTAGAGCAGGCTGACCTTGAACTCACAGAGATCTGCCTGCCTCTGCCTCCCTAGTGCAGAATTAAGGCATGTGCCATTACTGCCTGACCCTGTATCAGGTTCTTAATCTGTTGCTGTTAAGAAAGAGATCCTCTGCATTTTATCCTGAATTTTCTGCCTCTGCCTCCTGAGGGTTAGGCTTGTGTCTTTGTGAGCTAACATGCCTGGCTAAAGATGACTTACAAGTTTAAGAATACTACATGTGTCAGAGGATACAAAGAAATAGTAAGACTGTCTTTAGATCCTTGAGTTTTAGTATATTTTTTACTTTTCTTTTTGCTATGAACTCAATGGAATTTATTTATATCTTGGTATATTGGGTTGGTGTGGCAAGTGCTAGTTGGACCTATGGGATTGTGATCTTAGCACACAGCAGTGGGAGTTGACACTTCAGTTACAGTTCCACTCAAATAAAACTGTCAAATCAGTGAGTTTACTTACAGTTTTTACTTTAGTGAGATATAATTCACATAAGTACAGTAAGCCATTTAAACGTATTAAGTTCAGTGTTTATATGCTGTTGCTCTACAGCTGTCCAAGTTTTAGTTCCAAGATATACCTGTCATCACTGAAGAAACCTTGAATAATTATGTTTTAAATCTGTAATTTCTAGTATAGTTTTTCTAATGATCCAGTTTTGATTTCTATAGAGGTGTGTCAAGTTCTTATTATGCTAAGTAGAGTTCTTAGAGATATTTTAACTAGTAAGTTTTTTGTGTTTCTAGAAGTTTGGTTATTTTTACTCTAAAACTTGCTTAGTTACTTAGTGTATTTGTTTGTTTTTTTGAGACAAGGCCTTGCTGTGTAGCTCAGTCTGCTCAGGACCTCACTAAATAGCAGGTCTGAGGGTTAGTCTTCACTGTCTACTTGACCAGCTTCAGAATCACACAGTATCCACACCTGAGGGCTTCTCTGTGAGGGTGTTTCTAGTGAGCTTTAAATGAAGAGGGAAACCTGCCTTTAAGGTGAGTGATCCCATGGCCTGGGATCACAGACTGAAAGAAAGGGAAAACGAAGAAAGACAGGAGGGTGGCAAGGAAAAAGGAGAATGCTAGCAGAGGTTTTGAAATCCCAAGTTTGCTTCCTGATCTGTCAAGATCTGAGCAAGAGCACGGTGTGTCTGCTGTCATGCCTTACTGAATTTGATGTACTTCTATATCTCCTCAAAATAAGCTGAAATAAATTCTCCTTTGTAAATGTTGCTGATCATGTATTTGATCTTAGCATCCGGAAAGGCAGCATGAGAAAAGTAGCTAATATATCAGTCTGGCCTTGAATTTACAGTCCAGCTTTAGTTTTCCAAGTGCTGGGATGGTGGACTCTGCCACCAGGTACAGCTACATTACTTGATTGACACTAATATTTTGACAATTGACACATCGCAACAGTATTGGTTTGGAAAGTAAAACAAAATTTTACTGAGTCAGCAAATTTGCAAGAGGCCAGGCATGGTGGTACATTTCTGTAATCCCCACATGCAGGCAGAGGCAGGAGGATTTTGAGTTTCGTGCTAGTCTAGCAAGACCCTGTCTCAAAAGCTAAAATGAGAACAGAAAATCTCATCTAAGGATAGAGTTTCTTAAAGTATTAATTTACTGACCATCTTGGGATATTTTTTTTATGAAAATAATATTGTTAGCCTAATATTTCAGCATATTATTTATTTTGTATATAAAGGCAAAAAGCAACTCTGTCATTTTTCCATAATTGCCTATTATTTTTGAATTTGTAGTCACATCTCTTTGTATTCAGCACAACAATACAACTTCAGTAGCGAACTGTTGAAACATTTGAAGAAACCAGTTGCTGCTTTAGTAGTGGGCACAGTGTGGTTAGCTCTGTGACTAGTTCATTTCATTTAGTGGACAAAATAGAGACTACCCTTTGTGCTTCTTTGTGTGATCAAGTACAAAGGATCATCTTTTCCCCATGGTAGCTTTTCTTATTCTAAAAGTACACAGTAAGGTGTTGTTAAGTCTTACCTGCTACTCTCTCTCTCTCTCTTTCAAAACTTTTACTAGGCCACCGAGCTGTATATGTTGGTGTTCACGTACCATTTAGTAAAGAGGGTCGTCGGCGTCACAAGCATCGAGGACACAAACATCACCACAGGAGAAGAAAAGACAAAGACTCAGATAAAGAAGATGGACGGGAGTCTCCTTCTTATGGTAGGAAGAAGTTGCCCTTCACTGATGGCTTGAACTTTTTTTCTAAGAAGTATCATGTTTCTCACTTCATTCCTATGAAATAATTTAGCACATTGGGAGGAGGCCATTAAAAGTGGGGCATTTTTGTTTTGTCTTTTGAGGTAAGGCTTCTATGAGCAGCCCAGCTGGCCTCAGGCTTATTAGGCTTCTAAATGCAGGCACCATAGGCATGGGCCACCAGGATTTTTTTTCTCATCTCTATTTCTTCTCTTCTCTTCATCTCTCTTTCCTGTCCCTTCCCTTTTCCTTCCCTTCTGCTCTTCCATCCCTTCTTTCTGTCTGCTGGGTAATTAGGTCCAGGGCCTTTGTGCATGCTAGGTAAGCATGCTGCCACTGAACTATTTCTCATCCAATAGTAACTTAAGATTTCATTGATATAAATGTGGTCATGGTGGTAGTGGGACTCTCGTTTTCTTTTTATTTAAAACTTTGAATATAAAAACTGGTTCTTGTCATTTAGCTTTTAAATGAGAGTTGTTTTGTATCCTTTTACTCTGGAGAGAACAGAAAGCTACAGTGGATATTTTCTGCATACACTCTCAACACTTGCATGCAGACCCAGTGAAGGCTTTGACACACTCATGGGACTGAGGCATTGGGGTCCTTGACATGGCTGTGCTAATGTCAGTAACACACATTCCCTCATCCCTACATCATCCCGTATCAGTCATGTCACTGGTACACCAGTGAGTCTATCTCTCCCTGTAGGTCAGTATTACAGCATTCAGTGTCTAATATGACTAAGATAGTCATCAGTTCAAGACTGATTTCTCTGTGTCTGGTCACCAAAGATTATGGTGTCTTCAGCAGTAAGAATCTATGTTCAGTTGGTTGACAACCAAGAACAGTTGCAGTAGCCTGTGTTGTTTCAATACCCCTGGGGCTTCCTGACCAATAACATGGAGGGAGATGACTATTGCATTTTGAAACTGTTCTCTGGTTGGACAGGACTTGTAAGACAGTAGGTTGGTCTCTGGATAGCATATAGCACAGGCTCTTAATTGTGAGAAAAGGCTAGAAGGATAATTTCAGTGCTTGCCTGAACTGACTGCCCAGGAACTGTTTTCTAGTGTGGTAGCACAAGGTAAGGCCTGGTCAGCTCTCAGGAATTTGCGTTAAAATAATCCAAAAGCAGTAAAGTGTTTCAGTCTTATTGAGTGAGAAGAATACAGGCAACAGAGATAGGGGCGTGCACAGCACAGGTCTGACTAATAACCCAGGACTGTGTGAATCCAGACTGTATACATAAAGACTTGTCAGGTGCAGCTGATGCAGTGCATAGAGACTTAGGCCATTTGATCCTTGTATGTTAGAAAGAAGGAATGGGAGTCAGAGATACCATGTTCTAGCTTAAGAGACTAAGGGCAAGGGTAAAACCTATTAAGCTCAAAGAAAGGAACAAAAACTAGAAATGGAGAGATGGCTCAGTGAAGAGAGCTTGCTGCTCTTTCAGAGGACATGTGTTCAGTTCCCAGCATCTACCTCAGGCAGCTCACAAGTGCCTGTACTACCTGTAAATCAAGCCACAAGGGATCTGGCAACTTATTCTGGCTTCTGCAGGCACTATATACATGTATACTAATCCTATACAGGCACATGAACATACACATATAATTAAAAAGTAAATCACTGGGTGTGGTGATGCATACCTTTTATTCCCAGCCCTGGGAGAAAGAGGCACATAGATCTCCGTGACTTTGTGTCTTCACCTTATTGCCTTATTGCTCCAAGCAGGCTCTCTCAGCTCTTGATGTGGGAATGTCATATATCAATCTGTTGATTTCATTGGTTAAGTAATAAACAAACTGCTTGGCCTCATAGCTTAAAACATAGGTGGGTGGAGTAAACAGAACAGAATGCTGGGAGGAAGAGGAAGTGAGCTCAGACTCCACAGCTCTGCTCTCTGGAGCAGAGAGGCCATGCTCTGCTCTCCTGGGCAGACAGACGCGATTCAGCTCCGACCCAGGATGGACGTAGGCTAGAATCTTCCCGGTAAGCGAACCTTGGGGTGCTACTCAGATGATTAGAAATGGGCTAAATTAATATGTGAGAACTAGCCTAGAAGAGGCTAGATAGAAATGGGCCAAGCAGTGTTTAAAAGAATACAGTGTCCGTGTTGTTATTTTGGGGCATAAGCTAGCCAGGCGGCCGGGTGCTGGGGACGCAGCCCCGCCGCTCATACTACAACAAGCTCTCAGAACTGTCTTATCTCTTTCCCAGTGCTGGGGTTACAGGCATGCATGGCAGCGCCTGGCTTTTTATGTGGGTGCTCGGGATTTGATCTGAGGGCCTCATGTTTGCAGAGAAAGCCCTCTTATGGCTGAACCTTCCCGAGCCCCTGTGTCCATGTTTTTCCTTTGCAACACACATTGTGATCTGCAGACCTAATGCTTAAGAACAACATGATTGTGTTTAAAAACAAACAAATAATCTCAATGTTTGAAGTTTACAGTTGGGGGGGGATACATTCATAGCTGTCTCTGGCCACATGTCTGGAGAGCATTTTTTAGTAACTAAGAGAAAGGCTGAAGTATCCCATCTTATTACCTTTATACAGCATTGTCCTGGAGCTCTTAACCTGTGAAGGATGGAGGAGAGAAGTGGGGGCGGTGCACGTGACATACATGCATGGCAATAAAGGAAGGAAAGTCTGCGGATGTTGGGCCATGAGATAGTAAATCTAAAGAGTTTGCAGAACTATGGGACTAAGAGAATCACTCAGAGTAGAAAATCAACCTTTTCTCACGAGTAGCAGTGAATACTCAGAAATGGAATTTAAACATACCACTTACAGTAACACTAAAAAAGTTCTTTAGTAATAAATCCAAGCAGAACATCAAGCAAGTCCTGTATGCAGGAGTAGTTGACCACAGTAGTATTGCCTTCCCTCTAGGCATTTGTTTAACATAACACCTGTGACAACTTTTCACATGTTTTGTGTATCAGTTCTCCCAGTTCTTACATTTTCAACTTTCTGGAGGGTTCCTTGTTGGATCTTCCTCCTTTGGTCTCCACATCACTTAATTTTCTGTGTTTTTTGTCTTCTTCATTTCTCATTTCATTGTGTCTGTCATCTCTTCTGACATCTCCCTTTAACTGTCCTCTTCAAGTGTTCTGCCTGTTGCATCCTATAGGGGCCTGGAGAATTGTTCACCTAGATGTCAATTTTAATGCAACTTTATTTCTCATGTAATGCAGGGTGAATATTGTCTGTGATTGAAAGCCTTAAGGTTTTCTACTATTTAAGAGGTAGTGTCTATTTTGTTAGTGTGCCTTCTGCAGTGGCTCTGACCCAATCTGCATCTGACAGTTCTATTTCTCTAGAACAGCAGGAGAGCTGGCTGGCACATATTGACAGCTGCAAGTTTCATATCACTTTCTAAAGCTTGAAGGCTTCCTTTTAATCCATGAACGTAGCTATCTTAACTACTTTATTTTATGCTTCCATTTGTGCATATATCACTTGAATATATATACTATGTATATTTTGGAAATAAGATTTGTACAACCCTGGCTTGTCTGGAATTTACTGGGACTGTGTGTCAATTTCAAAGCTTATCCTTAAATGAGTGTGCCATTGTTTTGTTAAGACACACCATCGCAGAGGGTGCAGTTCATCCTCGGGACTGAAGACGATGATGAGGAGCACATTCCCCATGACCTCTTCACAGAGATGGATGAGCTCTGCTACAGAGATGGAGAGGAGTATGAATGGAAGGAGACGGCCAGGTAACTCTCTCTGCTCACTCTCGGCTTTATGAAGCGAAATCACAAGATAGAGTGCTTGTTGGTGTCTGTGTTCACTATTTATTTATTTACTGAGGTAGGCTCTTGTTTTACACCCCCGGCTGATCAGGACTTTAGGATGTAGCTCAAGCTGGTCATAGACTTGCAGCAATCCTCCTGTTTCTACCTACTTAATGCTGGGATTATAAGAATGAGCTACCTTTCTGGGGCTCTACATTAGAAGATTTCCTAGTTAATGCCTGGAAATTTTCTTTTATTCTTTGCTCTCAGTTTATTTCCTTGAATGAGCTCATTTAGTATGTTATACGGTTTGTATGGTTGGTATTAAGATGTCTGAACAGATTTGAAGTTAAAAATCCTATGTTGTGAAATGCTGCAGTTTTGGTTTTCTGGGCTTACTATTTTAAATTCAATTTCATTTCTCATGCAATGGTAATTTATTTACATATTGTTAAACTACAATCTTATCATGTGATGTAGGTGTCAGATTTGATGGCTGCAGACAGTGTATACTATTGGCCTAATTTGTGGAAATGTATTTGAGGCAGAATTTTGTTCCAGTAGTGATCTCTTGTTTCTTTTTAAAAATCAAGCTTATGTTTATGGTATTAAAATAAACAAATGGAATGTCCACTGTTTTTTAGTTTTTCTATATTATCCATTTAGGTGGCTGAAATTTGAAGAGGATGTTGAAGACGGTGGAGACCGATGGAGTAAACCATATGTGGCAACTCTCTCCTTGCACAGTCTCTTTGAATTGAGGAGTTGTATCCTGAATGGGACAGTCATGCTGGATATGAGAGCAAGCACTCTTGATGAAATAGCAGGTTATATAGTAAACTATAACTTTTTTATGTTAAAGAAAATTAAATAAAGAAAATAAGGTGTGATTTTAAGATACTCATTTAACTACTGTATATGGAACTAGTTCTACTCTTTGTAGGGGCATTGTAGGTTTGTGTAGAGACTAACACATTAAATTAGAAGTATGATCACTGCCATAAGCACATAAATAGTCTGCTCTCTGGGAGTTGAGAGGAAAGTCTCCCATGGTAAAAGTCCAGTGAGAACATTAAATATACAGCCTTTCCAATCAGCACCTGGGCATAAGGAGCACAGGTGTATAAGAGAAAAGACAGTGTTTATGGAAGAGCACGAGCAAGGAGAAAGTTCCAGTAAATGTAAACAAACAACGGGACTGGGGAAAGTGAGCTAGCTCCGCAAGCAGCTGTATGTACATTGTTTGAATAAAGATATCGGGCTGAAAGGATAGCCCAGTGCATACAGTGCTCACCTAGCGTGTGTGAACTCTAGACTTATTTCTCCCCTTTTCCAAAAAAGGGATAGATTATGGCCACCTTTGGATTACTGAGCTGAAACACTGATTTTTATGGTGCGCATTGGGACAGTTTTGGGATTAATTTGGGAAAGGAATGATCCTCCATGTGCTTTCAGAAGATTACCCTGGTCGAAAAAAATGCAGGGTGACTCTGAACTGGAATGGGGACAGAAACAAGAACTATTTCCTTGGAGTTGTAGAAGTTAGTAAGGCTGGTGTGGATGTAGCAGCAAAAACAGAAGTAGTGCACAGAGCAGTGCTGGCGTCCGTCCTTTCTTTCATTCCTTTCACTTTTTGACAGAATTTGCCTTGTCTGGGATTTTTATCTACTTCATTGGTCTGTGCCTTTTGCAGAGTAAGAGCTACCACTTCTTTCCTGCCCTGTTCCTATACTGCACAGACAATTGGACGTCTTTGGAGCCTGTGCCATTGAATATTTAGTTAAATAGAATTCACTGCTACTCATTCGTTTATTAACTAGAATTTACCATATCTATATAGGAAAGCCGCTTCTTTAAAATACACTGGATAATGTTCATATTTATCTTCATGCATATGCTTAGATAGTGTTTATATAGTAAAAATACTATTTTTTTTTTCATTGAATAGATATGGTGTTAGACAACATGATAGCCTCTGGCCAGTTAGACGACTCGATAAGGGAGAACGTCAGAGAAGCTCTCCTGAAGAGACATCATCATCAAAACGAGAAAAGATTCACCAGTCGGATTCCCCTGGTTCGATCTTTTGCAGATATAGGCAAGAAACATTCTGACCCTCACTTGCTTGAAAGGAATGGTGAGATAAGTTGTGGTGTCCAGTTTTCGCTAACCTTTCTCTAATGGAAGCCTGTATGCTATATTAGTATGTGTTGCGAGAACGGTAGTGTCTCCCATTACCATTCTCACTTATCCAAAGTTGCCATTTCTAAATGTTTTGTTTTGTTTTGTTTTGTTGGGTTTCTTTGAGACAGTCTGTCTCATTATCTATCACAGGCTGACCTGGAACACTGTGTAGCCTTTACTGACCTTGGACTTGGATTTTTCTTCCTTAACCACCCAAGTGCTAGAAATATAGGTCTCTATTAATAAGACCAGTGTGTGTTAGAAATCACTTGGATAAAGTAAAAGCATTTACTGTTACTAAAAGGTCATAACTTTCCTCAAGCAATCTATAAGTACAGTCACTGGCCCTTACCCTTAATCACATCTGCTTCTCTGTTTGGATTTGAGGTTTCTTCCTTAAAAATTATTTAAGAGGCATACATTTATGATCTGTAATTTTAATGTTTTTAGTTCTAAATACTGAGTTTACTTTACGCCTATATCAAATTGATTTGCCTCCTAAACTGATCATAAACAAGCATTTTGGGAGTTGGTTTCAGATATTCATATACCTTGTGGAAGGTTTCACGATAGGGCTGTCTGATGCAAATGGCAGACAAGCTGATGTCTTTCAGTCCATTGAGAATGGTGCGAACCCAGGTACTGAGACCAGTTCTACCACTCCTTTCAGAGGATGGTGGCAAGAGGACTTGGGGAGACAGTGTTTTTGTTTTTTAAATTTTACTTTTCTATTGTGTGTACACATGTTTTGCCTGCATTTATGTATGTGTACTACATGAGTGCCTGGTGCCTACGGAGGTCAGAAGAGGCCATTGGATCATCTGGAACTGGAGTTAAGGATGGTTGTGAGTTACCATGGGGTACCAGTAGCAAACTCTTCCTGTGGAAGAGCAGCAGGTCTCTTTAACTGCTGCTGAATCATCCTTTCCTCCCCAACCCTAAATAGTCAGTTAGTTGTCAGTTTCTGAGAACTAATGCACATTGAATATTCATCTCACCTTACTGTTTTCTTTCCAAAGCAGGAACACACCAGTATGGTTCTCACTTGACTCTTAAACAGAACTGTGATAACAGAACCTAGACAGGTCAGGTGCAGCAGACAGGCCAGATGCAGCGGGTCGTTACTGCCTCTGACTGTGTCCTGACAGGAAGCCTAGGAGAACTGCAAGCTGGGACAACTGGGATATGGGACACAGTAGCTTTCTGCTCTTTGTCTGTCCCTGTTCTCCACTGTGATGAAGTAAATTATTATACTTCAAGGACTCTACTATTATTCCCCATATTCAGTCAATGTTTTCTCTTTATCCTCTTTGTAGTTTAATTTCTTTTCATCATAAGACAATGGCTATTCTTAAGCAATTTTACTTTGTTAATTTTGTTACATTATAGGTATAATGTAATAACCTTTTCTGCATGTAGCTCCTTAAAAGATAAACGATAGTTGTTTATATATTAACAGTTGTTTCTACTAATTTATTTTAGTTAACATACAAATAATAGGTTTATCACATTCTTTATTTTTGCTGTATTTGAGTCTCCTGATCATAAAGCTTTGATTCCTTAGTCCACAAGAGATTGTTACATTTCTCAAACAACTACCATTTAGTTTGAAAAGGCCACAAGGGAAAGAATGTTTCTCTTTTAAGCTCACTTACCAGTGTATTCCTATGCTTTTGAAATAGTCTAGACTAACTTTCCTATTGCTCTTGTTAAGATGGTAAAATGCTTTGTTTTTAGCTAGCTAATGCAGCAGTTGTGTATAGTTGATTAACTGGCTGGACTATGGTAGAAGCAAGACGTGCTCTGAAATATTGACCTAAAACTTAATGTTATAATTCTTATAATTCTCTTTGTTTCTCTCGTTTTCTTTCTTGTTCTTTGTTTGTTTTCTTCCTTTTTTCCTTCTTTTTTGTTTTGTTTGTTTTTTTCTGTGGCAGGGCCTTACTGTGTAATCCTATCTGGCTTGAAACTTGCTTTGTAGACCAGGATAGCCTTGAACTAAGATTTATCACTCCTGGCTATAATTCTCTTGAAAAATAATTCTTATAAATTGTCTTGTATTTTTAAAATGTAATTAAGAACACTGGCCAGCCTCTTGTTACACACATTTGTTACCAGTTTTAAGCTAATTATTAGGTAATGCTAATGTAGAGTCTTGACATCTATAGATGTTCCTAGTTAGGAAAAATGTCCAATAACTTTTCAGTGACATTATAACAAGTAAGAATGTGACTGACCTCTAACCCCACAGACGAATCTTAAGCTTGTGATTTGTGGTTTGAATTGAGTTTTGTGTTCTCTATTTACTTAATACAATGGACATCATTTTTTACTTACTTGTTTTATCTCAGGCGAAGGCCTGTCAGCCTCCCGCCACTCTTTGCGAACAGGTCTGTCTGCCTCAAACCTTTCCTTGAGAGGAGAATCGCCTTTATCTGTTCTTCTCAGTCATCTTCTCCCTTCTTCGAGAGCTGGAACCCCTGCAGGCTCAAGGTGTACCACCCCAGTACCCACCCCTCACAGCAGCCCTCCTTCCAGCCCTGGCTTAAGTCGCCTGGCCTCCAGAAGTTCCCAGCTGAGTCAGCCTCAGGCCCCAGAGCTACTGGTGTCACCCAGCAGGGATGATATTCCCAGAGTAGTAATTCATCCGCCCGAGGAAGACATAGAAGCACTCAAAGGCCAAGAGCAGAAGAATGAGGAGAATGTTGACTTCACTCCAGGCAACTGTCCAGAGTCCTCCACGTGTGGTGCCCTGCCTCTGGCTCACCTGCACTGAAAATGCCTGTCACACATAGCTTGAGCAGCATATGTAGATAGCGCTTATGATTGGACAGCTGCATGGTCTTGCTCTTTACAGTGTATTACAGAACAGAATAAAATCATTAAAACTTAGGCTATAAAAATACTATGAAGAAGGCTGTACATAAGTTAAGCCCATAAATTTTTTTGTTTTTGTTTTTTTTAGAGATCACGATATTTGGGTAGTTTAGCAAACATATTTTTGATGTGACTCCGAGAATGGTGGTGGTACTTCTCTTAAGAGTGTAGTACAGCTTAGCCTAACACGATAGGATGCCATGCTGTTTTTCTCATCCTCTCTCTGACAAGACTGACGTTTTCAAACAATTGCTTGTAGTCATTATTTCAAGAGGAGTGGTGTAGCTTGGAACAGACCGTACTCTTTTATTTATGATTGTGTGTTAGTCCAAGTTTCTCCTGATGCTTTTCAGAACTGTGGGCTCTTTACTCAGGCTGAGGATGTAGTTTTGTAAGTGGATTACAAAACTTTCTTATGGGGCTGCAGAGGTCTCTTTAGGCAAGACTTCATACTGGACCTGACTTTGATTTCTTGCACCCTTGTCAGGTGGGTCACAGCTGGCTTCCTGTAACTCCAGCTCCAGGGCCTCTGATGCCTTCCGCCAGCCTCTCCAGATCACTCATGCACATGCTTATACAATAAACATGCATACAATTAAAAATAAAATATAATATGTGTGTGTGGGGGAGAGAGAACTTCTAGGCAGTAAAGATCTTTGTTAGTTGAGAATTGAGGCATATATTCTTTTAATATTACTACAAATCTTTATGACAAGATTATCAATTTTTCTGAATAGGTGAAATTAAAGTGTTTGGATTTCTGAAGACAAAATGAAGCTCATAACTAATGAGAAAAGTCATAGGATCAACCGTCATCACTTCCTTTGTAACTGCCATTTGCACTTAGAACATTTAGTTGTTTCTGGCAGGACTCCGGAAGCTGATGCCATAGAGAGGATGCCATAGAGAGCTCCTCCACAGAGAGGACGCCATAGAGAGCTCTTCCATAGAGAGGATGCCATAGAGAGCTCCTCCACAGAGAGGACGCCATAGAGAGCTCCTCCATAGAAAGGATGCCATAGAGAGCTCCTCCACAGAGAGGACGCCATAGAGAGCTCTTCCATAGAGAGGACGCCATAGAGAGCTCCTCCACAGAGAGGATGCCATAGAGAGCTCCTCCATAGAAAGGGGGGCTACTGGAACTTGGCTTTAGCTATGTGGCGCAGTGGGAGGAAGCTTCATTTTTTGCCGACTGAATTGATTCTCAGCAGAATTAGTATCAGGAGCTGGAGACTTGACTAATTAAAGAGACAGCTTTACCTCGGCTGAGGCTTGCAAAGATTACTCAGAGAGAATCATGGTAAACTAGACTGCTTTAGTTTCTTTCTAAGAACCAGTTTTCATCTAGTTTTGAGCTTCTGATCCTTCTGTCTCTGCCTTCCAAGTGCACACAGGAATGTGCTACCACACTTGGCAGGGTAATGTTCTTAACATGCCCCAGCCAATTGAAAAAGGAACATGTTGAAGATGGCAAGCACAGCCATCTTCAACTAATTTCCTCCTTTGTCCCCATTGAATTTATTTCTTCTTTCTGTTCCTACTGACCTTGCCACCCCCCATCCCCACAAGCCTCGTTCTTAGGTCTCAGATCTAGTGGCTGAGTTGTTCTAGAAACTGCATTATGTTCTTATTTTGATGATGTGTAAAATAATAGTCAGTAGTGCCTAGTACTCAGTCCCAGTTGGCACCAGGGTTTAATAATGTACTTCTTGAGCTTGTGTGTGAGTGTGTAGAAGCCACTGATGAGGATAATTTTTCCCACCTCCTTGGAAAGAAGAGACACTGCTCTGAAAGCTAGGGACAAAGGTTAAATATGAGGAATCTTAATAACTTTTCCATACTAAGTCAATATTTAAAAAAGTATTTATTTTAGGAAATAATTTTTATTTCAGAAATATTTAATTTGAGAATTACATGACTACATTAAGTGCAGTGCTTTTTATATGAAGGTTTTTCACTTATATCGATACCCCAGTTTGTTGACCTGGGAAATTGATATCATCGAGGACTTTCACTCAGAGTTGAAATAGCTTTTAAACCCAAATGCCTTAATTTTATGTTCACTAGTTATAACTGCTGTATTCTAGAAGAATAAACATTTCCTGGTTGTATCAAATATATCTGATATTCTTGAAATTGTAGAAACGATTACTAATTTTAACCAATGACTGGTACTGACAAATATTAACTGCACTTCTGTATTATATTGCAGTTTCTTCCCCTAAAATGTTCAGTGTTGTGAGCATTAATTGGTTTATATTCTTGGACTAGAAGGCTTTTTTTTTTTATTTTCTAAGGAAAAAAAGATGTATTCAGTGGTAGATATCTGTGTGTTGAAACTTGGATTTTAAGTTTTTGAGATTTGAGCTTTTTCTAGAACTCTTAGAGGTAAAGATAGATTAATCTTTATGTTGTGTTGCTTGGAACTGCCTTCCTGTGAGCGTTGCTGCTGAATGAGTACACTAACATGAACATGCATCATTTGTAACTGGACAACAACCAGGCTAGTCACACGCTAAGTTATAGGCTCATCGGAACCAGAGGGGTTGAGTAAATCATTCAATCACAGGGCCACAAGTGATGAGAATTATTTATCCCAAATCTCTTTGATTTTAATCTTTTTACTGGGATAGCTTGTTTGTTGTTTTAGGTTTCTTAGGAAGAATGACAGTAGAAATTAGACATAAATACTGCTGAAGAAAAATAAAATTTCTTAGGGAAACATGATTAAGAAAGATTAAACAAAGCACACCTCTTAAATTTTGTGAATTACAATTGGAAAGAATTCATATTGGCATTGACATGAGTGTCCTAGGGGAAGTTAGGGCTCACTGAGTTCTGTACGGGTCACACGAGGTAGAGACACTCGAAGTACATTACCCAGAAGTATTGTGGCAGTAGGGCTGGTTCCACACTGGCTCGCTTCTGTGAAGGCCACTGTGTGGATTCTGTAATGCTCTAAATATTAAGTGCACAGCTTCATCCTGTTCATGTGTTCTAATTCATGCTGCTGATACGGAGCTAACATCTGCACTTTTTAACCTCTCACATTTGCTTCGGTAATGAGCCATCGCTTTAAGGATATGAACAGCATCAGGCTACATGGTGGATTTTCTCCTTACTAATTCGGTTGTGTATTTTCTTAAATACAGGGATTTTGGCTTCTCCACAGTCTGCTCCTGGAAATTTGGACAATAGTAAAAGTGGTGAAACGAAAGGTAATGGAAGTGGAGGAAGCAGAGAAAATAGTACTGTGGACTTTAGCAAGGTAATTCATTAATTGTAAATTTTCATTAGCTTTCCCACTGAGAAAATAACTAGTAATGTGTTGCTTTGTTGCCATTGCTTACAGTAACTGTTTAGTTACCTGCTGCTTACACACTTGCATAGGATGCCTGTGAGATGTTATGGGCAGAAACAGGGATAGGCTCCATGTTTGTAACTACATGCTTACAGTTGCAGCCGTTCAGAAGAAATGGATTTTCTTTGGGCCTGCTCATAGATAATTTTCTTGGGTGTGACATCGCAGCACTGACAGCTTTCTTCCTGGGCTCTACTGCATCCCAGAATTACTGACTCATGGTTCTAGGACCTTCTAGAATGCCACCAGGAGGCATGGGTAGATCGAGGCATGGTTTAAACAAGAACAAGAAGCACCTGTGAATTGATGTTGTTTAATGAGTAGTTCAGGGAAGTGAAGATGAAAGCAACAGAACAGAGAGACCCTGGGTTTTCAGGATAAGCTCAAGTGACAGCTGAGTTTCAAGAGTACTTCCTAGTGGTTGGGAAGTCCCTTAATTTGCTGCCTGTCAGTTTACCATTAATTCATGGAACAGTAATATTTTTGCACCTTCTTTTTAAGGCTTTGTTGTAAATATCAAATAGATTTCCGTCTTTTAAAGCTGTTTTCTGTTTCACAGTGTGTCCGCAAATCATGCGCACTCCACTGAAAAGAGGTTTAAATGATTTGTATTGTCGTTTTGTGGAGTTTCATACTCCCCCATTATAGAATAGAAAGGCTTACCATTAGGGATTTTGACTATTCAGAAAAGGTGTTCACCTGAGCATGGTAGCATGTGCCTATAATCCTAGTTATCCAGAGGCCAAGGCAAGAGAGCCTCAAGTTTATGGCTATCCTGGGTTACATAGTAAGCTCTAGACTACCCTGAACTAAATAGCAACTTGTCTTTTAAAGCAAAACAAACAAAAGTCTTTTGCAGTTGTCATTTCTAACTATCTTGTTTTCATTAGTGCTCTGTTTCAGATCATCAGAAAGTGTTCCTAGCTAAATTGGAATTTATTCGTTGTTGCTGAATAAGTAAATTACCATAATTTGCATTGTGGTTCTTGTCTAGGCATGGCAGTGTGGTTGATCTTTGTTTCTCTGTCAGTCGCACTTTTTTACTTGGCCTGTTCTTGTGTACCCTCCCTGTCTCTTGTTGGGCAGGAGTCTGCCTCCTGGCACTGTAGTTGTGGCACACTGGGAGTGGGACTCAAGAGGCCCGCTGTAAGTGCTGGTTTCATCTTTTAATAGATAGTCTTGTTAGTGGTCGTTTAGTAGCTTATGTGAACCTATGTATCAGTGAGAGCTTCACTACTTTGGGGTCATGTTTGTTACCTTTTTGTAATTATACACAGGTGGCTGAGTTTCCCTTACACATGGTTCCATGTCTGAGCTAATCAAGGCTATTGGTTCTCATTGTAAAGAATATTTTTTTTTATTTAAGGAAAATACTAAGAAATGGTAGTGTTTTATTTTTTAAAAGGAGGATTTATAAAGACATGAAACAATAAGACTTAATGAAAATCATTCAATGAATTTGTTGTAGCACTGTGTATAATTTCATAAGCCATTGTTAGTTTGTGCACTGTGTGTCCTTACCAGTTTTTAATGAAGAGCCTATTCATTGAAAAATTCTCAAGTTTATGTTTGATAATATACAGCTCTAAAGTAATAAAGACTATAATAGCTAAAACAATAGATGATGAATTTTGCTTGCATTTTTTGTATTTGTCTACTTCATTCTTTATATCTGTGGGAGTTTTGGTGTTTATGCATCTTTTAGATCACAAGTTTTGATTGCCAGTAGTAGTTTTAAAGTCATTCTTTTATTCATATCTAAGTAATTATATTTCTAAATTATTCATTTATCAATAGGTTGACATGAATTTCATGAGGAAAATTCCCACAGGAGCGGAAGCATCCAATGTTTTGGTGGGAGAAGTGGACTTCTTGGAGAGACCGATTATCGCGTTTGTGCGACTGGCTCCTGCAGTTCTCCTGTCGGGGCTGACTGAGGTCCCTGTGCCCACTAGGTAATGAGTCCTTCGTGGCTGTCCTGTGGACCCACTGAAAGCGTCCTTGCTCTGTAATAGAGGCTCTGTTGGACTGCTGGTTTTCAGTTGTGCCAGTGCTTTTGAGTACCAGAGTGTAAATTATCCTCCCTCTTCCAACTGTTACCTGATTCCATTCTACAGCTGACCTGGACCTTACTGTGTAGCCAGCCTGGCCTCTGATTCCTCCTTTTCCCTCCCAAATGATGAGATCGTAGCTATGAATCACCTTCTCCTGCTATAGTAATACTGTATGAAAACAGTTCTTCATTTGTATCTTTATAAAATATTTGGTATCTTAGGAACTTTTGTTTTATAAAGCCAGTCATTGAGATTCATTTTTGTGCTGGGTACCCAGAAGATGGCTTGCTCAGGTTCACTTCTCATTCTGTTCTGGGCTGCACTCATCCTTTGTGTACTCATGCAAATTCTTTGTTGTGGTTTTCCATCCATGTACATTGGATAACAAATTAATCTAGCTTGAAATCATAAAGAATAATTAGCAAGTTGTGTTAATCAGCACATGAGCCATGAAAAGGACATCTGCAGATCGTTAGTATCAGAAGCTTAATTGTGACTATGACTTGTTTTGAAATTAACTTTTTTTACTGTATTTTTGTTTGATGGGTTTTTTGTTTGTTTGTTTGTTTTAAATGAAGTCACGTGTGTGGTCCAGGTTGACTTCTTATCCCTGACTATCCTTCTGCCTCAGCTTCCTGAGAGCTGACATCCGGGCATATGCACTGTACTAGGGGGATTTTGCAGCAGGGAGCTTCCACAGTACCATGGAGAGGTGTGGTAGATTATGTGTTCTCATGACCGACTCAGTAATTAAGAATTAATAGGAATTTGATGGAAAATACTTATTTTATATGTATTTATTCCGTTTCCACTAATGATACCGTGTTGGTAAGTGAGGGAAAATTATTCGATTGCCTCATTTGTAAATTTTCATAAAGCAGGAGCATAAGTATTTGGATCAGAATATTAATATTTTATATAAGGCTGAAGTAATGATGAAACCCATTATTTTGTATTATTACCTACAAAAATAGTTAAAATATTAGTATCTACTCTATTGTTTTTTTTTTTTTTTTTTTTTTTTGGTTTTTCGAGACAGGGTTTCTCTGTGGTTTTGGAGCCTGTCCTGGAACTAGCTCTTGTAGACCAGGCTGGTCTCGAACTCACAGAGATCCGCCTGCCTCTGCCTCCCGAGTGCTGGGATTAAAGGCGTGCGCCACCACCGCCCGGCCCTATCTACTCTATTGTTAACAGGGTGCAACTATACTTTTTATTTAACACTTAAATAGAAACAGGTCTGATATTGAAGTTGGGAATTCTTTTCCCTCATGGAAAAGTTACTTAACTAGATGTCATATTTATAGTGTTAAAGCGTCGATCCAAAATAGTTCCAGACTACATATCTTTTGTGTGTATATTCTGTACTATTTGATTTGACAGGCCTTGCTTTCAAGAAATCAGTGTAGGACAAGGGATGTGTCTCAATTGGTAGAGAGATTGCTTGGCATGCACAAAGCCCTGGTTCAGTTTCCAGCACTCCATAAACCAGGTGTGGTGGGCCACACCTACAGTCCCCTCACTTGAGTGGAGGGGCAGTGGAGGCTGGAGGATACAAAGTTCAAGGTTACCTCTGGCTACACAGTAAGTTCTAGATCATCCTGGGTTATACTACCCTTTCTCCAAAAGAAGTCAGCATGGAAACAGTGTGGTGCTGCAAATCTGCCACGCAGCACTCGGAAGACTGAGTGAGGAGTTCGAGGTCAGCCTGGTTGTTTCATCCAGAAGGATATAAAAGATGAAAATTTTTATGAGAAACACTTCCTTAGTAACTGTTTTTGCACTAAGGAAGATGGGAAAGGGGTAAGTTGGTAGAGTTAATTGTGAATGCATTTTATAGTTTCATGATCTGATTTTTGCTTGTTTTGTTCGGTTTTTGAAATAGGATCTCCTGTTGCTTAAGCTGAGAGGATGACTTTGAACTCAGAGCCTCTTTGCCTCTGCCTTTCAAGTGTTGGAATAGCAGGCTTGCCCACCACACTCAGTTAAGATCTGTTTTGAATAGAATTGCCATTTTTTCCCCCTTGATTCTTGTGGGTGATTGCAAAGAAGGTCTGTGTGTTGCTTCTGTGTTTATAATGGAATTATTTGTAGAAGTTTCCTGGATTTGTGTATATGTGTTGTTTCTTTTAAAATCTGCATATTTCAATCTTTCCTTAGGTTTTTGTTTCTGTTACTGGGCCCAGCAGGGAAGGCCCCACAATACCATGAAATTGGCAGATCCATAGCCACTCTCATGACTGATGAGGTAATTACAGTCAAATCCCTTTGAGCTAGACAGTGAATATGCAATTACAGCCCTTCTTTCTCTCATAGGAAAGCTTATAAAATGATCTTTGATGTCTATGCTATTTTATTTCATATGTACTCTTCTAACACATGCATTTGTTGAGGGTTTTAAGATTTATTTCTTAGCAATACTAGGTAGTTTTTCATCTGTTTTATTGCTATTCTTTCAATTTGACGTTTTGAAATTTATTTGGTCCTAGCTTTTAGGGTGTTGCCTTTTTGGGGCTTCCTTGGGTCTTTTGCCGTTTCTCCTTACTTCTGTCTCTTGATTTTGTTGTTGTGTTTGGCTGTAAACTCTTTAGTGATCAGGACTTCTGCTTCTTTGAGAGAGATTTCTAGAAGATTTTGCCAGACATGCCAACATATCTGCACAGACCATCAGAAACCCTGTAAACCTGGACCTCGTCCATGTCAGCTCATCATACATTTTTGTAATCACTGCCATTTTTCTGGTCTAGACTCTGACCATTACTGTGGCCACTCAAGTGATTTTTTTTTCTTTGGAGTTCTTACCTGTATTGACAATAATAACATATATATAAGTCTAACATTGAATCCAGAATTTATCCATAGCCTAATTATTTAAAGTTTTTTTTTTCCCCCTTTTTTGAGTTGTGTTTTCTCTATAATCCAAGCATACTTCAAACTAACTGTGTAGCTGAGGTTGGTCCCACTCTTGGGAATCTTAGCTTCGTCTCTCGAGCGCTGGGATAAAGATATGAATCACCACATCTGCTTTACTTTACGTTCAGATCAAACCTTGTTCTGGTATTTTCAGGGAACCTTGCACGTATCCTATGCTTACACCCTGCTCTGGCCATAGTAGCTTCCTTTCTGTTTCTTGGATGAGTTTTGCTCTTCGTACCCCTGTACAGTACAGCTATGATTCTGTCTTCCTAAGTACTGTTTTACCATTTCCCTCAGTTATTACTGTTTTGTTTGTTTGTTTTTTTGGTTGGTTGGCTTTTCTTGGATGAAGTCTTTTATATAGCCTGGACTGTGCTCAAACTCACACCAGTTCTCCTCCCTCTGCCTTCAGTTGCTGGGTTATCAAGTCTTCTCAGCAACATTTTTGCTTGGCTGCTTATTTTTCTCTTGTCAGCTTTCCATTCTGCACTTTGTTTAATATTTATTCTTTTTTTGAACTTTTGTCCCTCTTGATCATAATTATTTTCAGGATAAATAACACTTTAATGGCAGAAATACAATGACCTGACATTATTGTAATGAATTATTTTGTAGTGAATCGATTTTTATCTTGTAAAATTACTATTTATCTGTGAAATATTTTCTTTGTACCAACTCATCATTTTCTTCAGTTATTTGTTGTTGATTGATCTATTTATGTTAGTCCATACTAATGATGGACTAACTCTTGCTAGGTGAGGTGACTGTCTGCAGCTGATGAGAATTTATACCATTTTTAGTGACTTTATTTTTGTTATTTATTTTATATTCTATGCATATGTGCACAGGGGAGAGAGGTACATGCACATATGAGTGCAGGTCCTGTGGAGTCCATGAGGTTGTGTCATATCCCCCAGAATTGGAATTACAAGTAGTTATGAGCCACCCTACAATTCTAGGAACTGAAAGTGTGTCCTCCGCACAGTGCTGCTGTTAATCATGGGCTCTTGCTCCAGCACAGAATTTATTACTGCATCTAAAGTGCATTTTAATACAGTCAGTTCTTTCTGTCCACTGTCGAAATCCTTATGCTCGGTATCTTCTCTCCTTAGATTTTTCATGATGTAGCTTATAAAGCAAAGGATCGAAATGACCTTTTATCTGGAATTGACGAATTTTTAGATCAAGTAACTGTCCTTCCTCCAGGAGAATGGGATCCTTCCATACGCATAGAGCCACCAAAAAGTGTTCCTTCTCAGGTAAGAACCTGGATATGCTTCTAGGGGTTTTTTCTTTTTTAAGTTAAAAACTTGTAATAAAAATGTGAGTTATGCATGTTTTATAACTCAAAAGTCATAACTATTTATAGTGGGTATGTCTTAGTGGGTGCACTTTGTCCGCATGCCCAAGGCCCTAAATTTGAACCCTGATACTGGAAGTAGGAGCTACAGGAACCAAAGGTAGATTCAGGGAGGATGTTCTTGTGTTACTATGTCTCTTGTGTGTTTGTCTGTTGTCAGCTTTGTGGTCCTGATTATTCTGTACCTGGACATGTAAATGTTAATAACCTGCCTACTCTTTTGTTATTTGCATCATTTTAAGTTGATCATTTGTGTGTGTGTGTAATCTGTCTTTATTCTTCATGTGCCATTATCAGCACTTTAAATAGTATGGAATAATTTGTTTTTGCAAGTTTGGGAAATTTCTGGCATACATTTTTGAGCCACATCTCTTGCCAATTGTGGGCTTTAACAAGTTGCTTTATTCCTTTATGAAAATTGGTTTATGTGAGCTTCTCTTCCCTCTCAGGTCAGTTCTGGTAAATTCTGTTTGCCCATTGTGACCATATTTTAAATTTTCTTGGGAAAGTTTACCTATTAAACTTTCCTTGGTTTGTGGAATTATATCCTGACATATCTTTGGTTTGACTAATAGGTAAATTATTTATTATATTTTTCAAAGAGTAGTTTGTAAAATTATTTTAGATTTTTTAAAAGATGGGTCTTTTTCTGCTTCATTCCTCTCACTATCCTCCAGTAAAGATTTATTTTATCCTTCTTTCCTTACATAGTTAATTATTTCCCTTTTAACGTTTTCCTTTTTTTACATTTATTTTATTTTATATGTATGGGTGTTTTGCCTGCATATGAATGTGTACCACATGCGTGACTGGTGCCCAGGATCAAGTATCCCAAAACTGGAGTTATGCGTAATTGTGAGCCACCATGTTAATGCTGGGAATTGGACACAGGTTCTCTGAAGAGCAGTCAGTGCTCTTAACTACTGAGCCATCTTTCTAACCCTCATCTTTTAAATTTTTTGTTTAAAAAAAATTATTTCGTTTGATTTTTGTTTTATAGACAAGATTTTCTTAAACTTCTAGTGATCCTCCTGCCTTAGTGTCTTACTAGAATTGTAAGCATGAGCCACTGATTGATACTTCATATTTTCATGTTTTAGCTACAACTTAGCTATGTCATACGTTCTTTTGTTCTTACTTTCTTGGGCTTCTATGTTGTTTTTTGTTTCCCCTTTGATGTAAGGGGAAACACATTGGTTTTAGCTCTAGCTACTCTGTATTAATAAAGTGTTGTGTATCTAGGTCCATGGGAGTTTTAAAACTTCACAGGAGCTCTTACAGATGCATATATCTGTCTTGCTCCCTGCTTATTCTATTTCCTCCCTCTTTGCATTATGTATGTTTATCTGCACATAGGTATTCCTTTAGCCAGTTCTTTGTTGAGGTAACCTATGAAATACTCCTTTTGTGTTCGTGTCGGGGAGAAGATCCTTTATCTTAGAAGTGGTTTCATTGATTTTAAAATAAAATATAAGGGGAAACTGAAGGAATTCTTGTGTTACTTATCTAAGGAAATATTTTAGGAAAGGAAAAATGTTGGTTTCTGCCTTCTTTTCTCTCCCTTCCTCCCTCTTTCCTTGTTCAAGATCCTTTTTATAGCCCAGATTGTTCTTGAACTCAGACTTTCTGCCTTAGCCTCTTGAGAACTGGCAGTGCAGGTGTATGGAAAAAGTAGTATCTTTAAAAATTAATGGAAAATTTGTTTTTGGTAGTTAACCACGAATAGTATTATAAATATTTTGATGAAAAGGTGCTTCTTTTCGAGAATGTTTATGTTTATAGCTGGGTTTGCTAGTGTCAGCTTCCCATAAGCTTGAGTTGTTTAGGAAGGAGGGAATCTTACTTGACTAAGAATTTCCATAGGCAAGACTGAAGTCTGTAAGGGCCTAGCTCACTGTGGGCAGTGCTACCGCTTAGCTGGTGGTCTTGGATGCTATAAGAAAGCAAGCTGAGCAAGCCCTGAGAAGCAGGCCAGTAAACAGTGTTCCTCCCTAGTCTCTGCTCCAGTTCTTGACCCTAGGTTCCTTGTCCTGACGTCTCTTCATGAAGGACTAAGATCAGGACATATGAGCTGAACCCTTTCCTCTCCAATTTGCTTTTAGTCACAGCAGCAGAAACTAACTAAAAAAATAGTTACTGCAGAACAGCAATTTGAAATGGTATATTTATCTTATAATACACTGATATTAGAAGGTGCAGAGAGCTAATTATAAATTTATAATGTGAACAGAAACAGATGGTAAATTCTTTTAAATTGCATCTTTTTAAAATGCTATTAAATGTTATTTTTTTGTTTGTTTGTTTGTTTTTCGAGACAGGGTTTCTCTGTGGCTTTGGAGCCTGTCCTGGACCTAGCTCTGTAGACCAGGCTGGTCTCGAACTCACAGAGATCCGCCTGCCTCTGCCTCCCGAGAGCTGGGATTAAAGGCGTGTGTCACCATCGCCTGGCGTGTTATTGTTTTAAAAGGTTATACTAGAAAACATTTTTTCCCGTGTGTGCTTGTGTAAAATCCTCATGAGATGTAATATTTCCTCTAGCAATCTCAGATACCTTGTCAGTTTTCTTAAAGTTGAATTCTAAAAGTATGTTTCTGTGGAATTCAGGAAAAGAGGAAGATTCCCGTGTTTCCCAATGGATCTGCTCCAATGTCTACCGAGCCTCCTAAGGAGGCTGCTCATCATGCCGGGCCTGAGCTGCAGAGGACCGGACGGTGGGTACAGTTGTTTCTTTGGGGGATTAAGCACTGGTTTGATAGAAAGGCACCAACAGTCTTCTCTTTTAACTCCTCAAGTATTTGGAACCTAATCTCGTACATTATTTCTTCTGTGGTTTTGTAAAAACTCATTTTCTATAAGATATATAACATTAAGGAGAATTTATGCATTTTAAAACAATTTTAATAACACATACCAATTTTTAAAATGAAAATAATGGGACATATATTCAAATTTGTCATTATTATATTATGTGGGTTTTTTGGTAACATCTACAAAGGTTCTGAAAGAAAATATAGATTCTTTTCCTAGTTAAAGAATTATGAGATTAAAGTGGAGTTACAGTGAATGATTTTTATACATTGTGCATGGATTTAAAACTTACGTGAACATTACTTTTTGAAATACTGTAAAATTACATGGACAAGCATGTTTAAACCCTACTATTGGCATCTGGAAACATTATTAGGAAATTAGAAAGTTAATTTTAGAGTAAAGGATAGAAATGTTACCTGGTAAAGTGTAAAAAAATACCTTTAAAACACTGTGTAGTAGTTGATTGTGGCAGCATTTCCATACTGTTGTGAAGTAAAGCTATTGGTGTTAAATGGGGCACTGGTAGTCACTGTGGTTTTAAAGGACCTAGAGTTCAATCTTTGTTTATATAACTAGGGTATCTTATACAGACACTGTTGACAAGAACAGCAGCTAATATATTCAACACAGTCAACATCAATGACTAGTGAAATGGAACAGAATAAGATTTTATCTTTGTGAATGTAACAGAATAAGATTCTATTTCTCCGCCAATAGTGCTGGTCTCCTATTGGCTGTAACCATTTCTTTGTACTTTAGAGATGGAAGTACCTAGTTAGAGGCACATTCCTCTCAGGCACCTGAGAGCCTCCTTTGCCACCTGTTAAGTTATCAGTTGTTCATTTGATGATGATTTATTTTCTACATTGTCATTGATACCTTTTTAATTGAAAGCTGATTCCTTTTGTGACAGAATCACTTCCGCTTGTCAACTCGCCTTTAGGATTTGTTTAGTATCTAACTTAAAAAAAATAGAATGGTAAAGCTTGAAGCATCCAAGCCCTCAAAAGTTTAAATTTAGTATTCATCTATTTTCTTTCATTTGGTATATATATATATATATATAAAATCCCCTGTTTCCTGAGTCATAAGACTGTTCTGAATTTTCAGTTCAGCAGTATTTATTTAGTACCTTTTGTATACCAGGCAGGGTTCTGCTAACAAGAAGCATGACATTGAGCAAAAGTCCCTATCTCTTAGGGTGTTTATGTTTTATTGGGATATTTTCAAATTAAATATATCTAAAAACCCATTTTTTAAGTTTAAATGGTATGGTTTTGATGTTTTAATGCAAATATAGGTTTTTATTCTTAATAAAACCTTTTAGTTTTATTAATATACTCATTACATATGTAATAATGTACTGAAATAGCTTTAAAGGTTTTTTCTTGGACAAAAATACTCATATAAATAATTCAGGAGTTAAAAATCATTAGACATAGTTCTTAGTTGACTTCTGAGTTAAATGTTAGCGAGCCACATTCACTCTACTTATACAGTACTTACTGTGTAAGCTATAGCTGCCCATTGCCTTTCTGCTCTGTACTGCAGATAAAGAATAGAGTTGCAGTTGCACATTTACATGCATGGCTGGTTAGGTTTTGTTTATTATATGTTTACTTGTATATTCGCATTCCAAGTTGCTCCTATAAAGTCATTTGCCTGCAGCCTTTTCAGCATATATAGTTTAATGTTATGTTTCCATTAACTTAATGAGATCTTCTTTCTTCTGACATCATTCATTAGAGTCAATGAGTATATCTTCTATAAGTTATACCGTGATTTAAATTTTTATTGGCAAAATAGTAAGCACCTACAGTTTTATGTAGCCCATAGATTTAGTGTGAACTAGTTAGAATCCTCTAGTCTACAGCTTGACGAGTTTCATCTCACCTATTTAGGCTTTTTGGTGGTTTGATACTTGACATCAAAAGGAAAGCACCTTTTTTCTTGAGTGACTTCAAGGATGCATTAAGTCTGCAGTGCCTGGCCTCGATTCTTTTCCTATACTGTGCCTGTATGTCTCCTGTAATCACTTTTGGAGGGCTGCTTGGAGAAGCTACAGAAGGCAGAATAGTGAGTACAAAAGATTGGTAGTGGCCAGGCTCCCAGCTCCTCAGAGGCAAGTGTCTGTATGCATTTGTCTCACTATTCGTGCTTGTATTTGAAGAGTCGACCCACAGCATTAACCTGTCCCAAAGCAGACTTCCCCCAAAGGTAATTGCTGTGGAAAACATGGGGAAGCCATTTGAACAGGAGAAGATGCACAGTTGAGGTAAAAACAAAAACCAAACAAACAGTTTATTTTACCTTGCTTGATGATATGGTTATAAATTGAGTAAAACTTCCATTGTCTTCTGGGGGATGGGTGGGTTGCGGGGGAGATGAACTGCTCTGGGTGGATCATGGTGGGAAATTTATCCATTGGGCTCCCTGTCCTGTTAGTTACCATAGGGTTAGGGTTGTGACTGTATTTAACTCCTCAGCCCCAGCTGGTCACTGAACTGAGACCGTTTGAAACAACAAATGTAGCTATAGAGTGGATGGAATTTTAAAGTTATGTTTGTTTTCATTTTGCTATTTAATCTATCTGAAAGTTGACAAAACTTGTATTTGCAATTGGGTGCTGCCTCCCTTTTCCCATGTGAATGTAGAGTCCTGTTTGCTGTACTTGCTAATAACTGTGGAGGAACTGGTGCGTCATAAAATTTTGAATGGCATTTTATGGGGAATATACATATATTTTAATGGCATTTGAGTGACATTTATAATTCTTGATTTCTAATGTTTGTTTTAATAATACTTTTGAAAGAAATTTTGTATTTTTATAGATAAAAGGTTAAAGCAATAGCTAAAATATAAGTGGTGACAATTCAATTGTAAAGACATCTTTTTCTAAATAACTGAAAATTTCTAACCCTGAATTTGGTTTTTACTACTTAGATTCCTTTTTCCTTTAGTCATTGCTCATAATATGTTTTTAGTTGCTATGCTGTCAAAAATTACACGTATAGCTCTGCTGGACACCGTGACGATGTGGTTAGTTATTACCTCTTAGAAATATTGCTGCTTGGCTCATGGACTGTCACTGCCTGTCTTCTCCTTCTGCCCTTGGACACCATGTACCCGAGATAGTATGTTTGAGAGACAAAGGTAGCAGAGGGAGCCTAAGCAGAAAGGTGGACAGTAAATGGGAGCTCATGTTCCCTGCAGTGTTTAACTGAGAGAGGAGAACTAGGGAATGAAGAGGCAGAAATAGAGGAAACAATGGGGAGATGAGGTGTTTGTTTCCATTGCTTTATAGAAGTGTACATTTTAGGAGCTCACATTCGGAAGCATAGAGCAGCAAGAAGAAAGAGATTGGAGACTGTTGAGCTTGAGGTGACTTGTAGAGAGGGAGGGTGTGTGGGAGCTTCGATGGTTATAGAATGGAAGGAGGAGAGTGGCCAGCAGACCAGACCATCAGAGCGCAGAGTGGGGAGGAGCATGTGAAGCAGCTCCATATTAGGGGAAGGTGGGGTGGAAGTGGTAAATGAGGAGTTTGTGGTGACAGTGTCCGCATTTTTGACCCACCACGTGGGGGAAAGGCCTCTGCTTTGTGCTCACCTGCTCCATTTGAGTTGTGACATGTCCTTCTTTTCAGTTTTTGTGTCCCCTCCTCTGAATTTCACTTAAGACATTTTCACCTCTAACTCAAGCTCACCTTAAATTCAGATTTAAAATGTACATATTTTAGTATAATTAAGGAGCTAGTGATTGCATATCAGTGTTTTGTAGTGAAGCCCTATTTTTTCAGAGAGAAAACATTTATTTTTAAGATTAATATGTTATTAATATGGAGGCTTGTTTTTTCATATTACCATTAGTTCAATTATATTTTGTTACTTTATGATTCTGGTTTGGAAGATGCTGTTGGAGTTGATGAGAAATGCTGCTTTTGTGTGATATTCCCAAGGTAATAGACATGGCTTGAAGGTGCCTTTATAAACACTCGTGGGGTCTCCTAATCGTCATCACCCTGTTTAAAAATAAAAACCCTTAGACTCCCAAGTTGCCCCAAGACTGCATTCCAGGCACTGGCCAGGCTTCCAGGGCAACCCCATCCTCCCTGCTCTTGTGCTGTCTCTTGTTTCAGGAGCTTTGTTTCTTATAACTTCTTGTCTTGCCTTTACCAATCCTGGGCTTTCTCCTTTCTGGATAGCACACCCCAGTTGGCCTTGATGCTTAACAATGGTAAATTCTTTTCCTTTCTCTCTGATCCTACCCTTTGTCTAGTGGCATAGCACATTGTCATTGCTTCACCATTTAACCTCATTAGCCAGCCTATAATGCCATAGTGAAACAAAACTTTACTCTGTCTTACTCACTGAGAACTCCTCCAAGACTTTCATTTCCATTGTTCTCATTTTGCTGAGCTTTAATGATAAAATACTTACTCATTTATTGTCTCTGCGAACTTACAGAGTACTCCCCACCTTGTTTGTGTTACCTCTATCATTTTAAAGTAAATCAATTAAGACTATCACTTTAGATTAATTTCTAAGAAATGTATGCAAAGTTTTTTTTTGTTTTTAGAAAACTGAGGGTCACATGTTTACCTATTTGGAGATTATTTTTAATCACCATCTTGAGTATTTAATGTGCTTTTTATTTTTAGAGTAAAAAAATATTTATTTTAGTCATAGAAGAGTAGTAAAAATAACTCATGCTTTTCTGCTTGTGTGGGCTTAGAAATAAAACACCACAGATGAACTTGAAGCCCTGTGTTTCCCTTTGCGCCTTTTGTGTCTTACAATATTGAGTGTTGGGCTAAGGATGATTGCCAAAAGTTCAACTAAATATGCAAAGACAAAGCAATTTTCTTGATGTACTTGATACATGTGTAACTGCTTGGCTAGCATCTGTGTTCTCCAGATGATTAGAGATCACTTTTTGATGTGTTACTTCTATTCATTTTCCTTTAAACAGAGTGCAATAGAGTCTCTTTTTGGAGCATCATTAACTGGGATTGCATATTCATTGTTTGCTGGACAGCCTCTAACAATTCTGGGGAGCACAGGTCCAGTCCTAGTGTTTGAAAAAATTTTATTTAAATTCTGTAGGTAAGTAGTAATTCTCATCCCCTCTATTTGTATACCCGTCAATTATGTTTTGTAGTATACTGTTTATGAACTGCAGTATCTTTGTGTGCTTTATGTGGTTGTCCTACCAAGGCTCCTACTACCACTTCTCCTCAGTAATGTAGAAGTAAGGGAAAGTAAGATTGCCTATCAATGTTCATTTAGTGGATGTGAGTATTGATAAGCACATTTGGAGAGCAATAAAAATTCTTAGTGCTTGCAAAATTAAACCAGTAAGGTGTTTGAACTGTTTGTTAGGGGAAATGTAGCTCTTACATAGGATAGAGTGAAATAGATCTTGAAAGCCCAAGGCTGGCTTTTTGCCAGGCGGTCTTGTGTAAAGAGGAAAGGGCTCAGAGCTATCAGAGTGCACGGTTAGTATCTTATAGCTAGGCTGTTCACGGCGTGGGCATACTATAGCTAATATACTTTGAATTCAGCATTAACAATACCATTCCCTGGATGGCATATTGGCAGTCAAGTATTTTAACGTGAAACAGCGGAGGTATCTGAATATTTGTTGTACTTCTATTGCCCTGATTCTCTGCTTATTGGCTAAGCTGGTTCTAATTTTGATATGGCGTGCTCCACTGACGAGCAGGGCTGAAAATGACTTAGAGTATCTCTTATTTGAAATTAAAAGTAAGAAACTACTTTTTTGTAGGGATAGTGGTGGGAGAAGAAGGAATAGGAGTGGCAAGATGTTGGGGTGCTGAGTGTTTTCACCTTACACATGGATTCTTCGTCTTCAGAAAGCCAGGCACAGTTGCTTTTAACCTGTCATTTGTTTGATATAACTGTTTGCTAATGTAAGGGCTAGTGGCTTTATGCCTTTATTGCCTAGCATATTTTCGCCGTAAATCTTTAATATAATAACCAAGTTTCCAGTTGAAGCAGAAAAACACAGAGCTTCATCTAATCATTATTTTGGCCATTTGGTAATTGTTATTTTTAAAGGAATCTTGTGTTGCTTGTGTTCTTACTGCTTGTTACGAAAAAGCTTAGGTGCAAATGCTATTCTGTATGTACATGGTGATCATGTTCCCATTTATACTTCTCAACAGAGATTATCACCTTTCCTACCTATCATTAAGAACCAGTATTGGTCTGTGGACTTCTTTCTTGTGCATTGTATTGGTTGCAACAGATGCAAGCAGCCTTGTGTGTTACATTACTCGGTTCACAGAAGAAGCTTTTGCCGCTCTCATTTGTATCATATTCATTTACGAAGCTTTGGAGAAACTCTTTCATTTAGGAGAAATATATGCATTTAATATGCACAACAATTTGGATGAACTGACCAGTTACACGTAAGTGCTTCTTATGTTAAAGTTAAGTTTCTTCCTTATGTTAAAATATCTTTTTTCTAAAATATCAGAGCATTTTTTCTAACTTTTTTTTTTGTTTGCTTGTTTGTTTTTCTGAGAGTTCAGCATGGTGGGACACGTTTTTAATTCTGTTACTCAGGAGGCTAAGGCAGGAGGAAGTACAACAAGTTAAAGGTCCACCTGTGCTGCATAGCCAAAAGAAAGAAAATGGAATTTTTGCAATGTAGTATTCACTGTATCTAGTTGTATTTACCATCTAGGCCATAGTATAATTGTCATTTGATTCAGATGAAATTTTATTCAAACATTCATGGGTAGAATTATAGTTGATAAAGTTTATTCACTTGTTTACTGGTATAATGATTTTATGTATTCCTCGCATTTTATATAATTGCATTTTTAAAGTATAGAATTTCAACAGCTGTACCTGTCATTTTTACATATAGTATACTGTCGTCAAGAAAGGTACTTCATTAGTGTCTTTTCGTTGCTCTTGAGATGGCACTCAGGGCTTTGTGCATGGTAAGTGCCTTAGGGTTTCTATTGCTGTGAAGAGACACCATGATCATGGCAACTTTTGTAAAGGAGAAAGTTCACTTCCTGTTGCCTGTGGCTCAAGATGCCTTCTCCAATATCATGTCAGGAAGTGAACTTTGTCACTGGGTTTAGCTTGAGCATAGACCTTATAAGGCCCACCCCCCACAGTGACAACTTCTACAATAAGGCTATACATACTCTAACAAAAGCACACCTAACAGTGCCACTCCCTTTGAACTTATGGAGCCAATTACATTCAAGTTACCACATTCCAAACTCCCTGGTTTCCATAAGCTTGTAACAGTATCATAATGTAAAATGTATTTAGTCCAACTTCAAAACCCCTTATAGTCTATCACAGTACTCATGTAAAAGTCTAGAGTTCAAAATCTCTTCTGAGAGTCATATAATCTCTTAATTGTAACTCCTTATAAAAAAATAGATCACATACTAGCAACATATAATGGCACAAGGGCATATATTACCAGTCCAAAATGTAGGGAAGGAAGCTTAGTAAAGAAATGCTGGCCCAAAGCAAGACTGAAAACCAGCTGTGCAAAGTCCAAGCTCTGTATTTCCATGTCTAATGTCAAAACACTCTTGAGATCTTCAACTCCTTTCTTCTTTGTTGACTACAACACAGTTCTTTCTCTTGGGCTGGTTCCACTCCCTGTTAGCAGCTCTCCTCCTCAGCATCTCTAGCATCCTGGATTCTCCAAGGTAATCCAGGCTTCTCCTTCATAGCTTCACGCACTGGCCTCTGTAGACCTCTTTTCAGGGACACCCCTGATGCATACCTGGCTTCAACTGCTTTATTTAGTCACAGAGGAAGATTCTACAACCCTTTTTTTTCTATCCTTGACTCTAAAGCCAGAACGACACGGCTGAAGCTGTCAAGTTTTACTGTTTGCTGGCCTGAAACATGGCCCTCTCATTCACTTATATCTTCTGGTTTTGATGGTTTCTGGTTTTGATGGTTTCCTTCACTGCCTGATCTTGGCTGTCCTGAATCTCATCTGTCAACCAGTCTGGTCTTAAACTCAGAGATCCTCCTGTCTCTGCCTCTGAACTACTGCCAGCTCTGAGGTTATCTTTAATCCCTATTCACAAATTGGAGGCTTAGCTGGGTAGAATCTTTCCCTGAGGTCACCACTCCCTTTATTCCATTTCTTGATCTGTTTATCTCCTTGAACAAAGGATTTTGCTCCATTCCACTTCCTGATGCCTTTTTTCTCCTCATATAGTAATTTTTGTGTTTTTCCTTGCTCAACTTGCTCCTTTTCATTATAAATCATTATAAGCATGAAGAATAGTAACCACATACTAGGCTGTTTTGAAATTTCTTCTGCCAGTGGAATTAATGAAAAACTCTTCATTTTAGCCTCAAGCAGACTTTTCAGAAAATGGCAAAAAGCAGCCACACTCTTTACCAAAATATCACAAGAATGATTTCTAGACAACATATTAAAATTCTTCTCCTGAAACCTCTTTAGTCAGGCCCCACAGTTCAAATGACCCCGAGCATCACTGACCCCGTGCTCCTACTAATATGGTCATTAAGCAGCACTTAAAGCATTCCACTGCTTTCCTAACTTAAAGTTCCAAAGTCCAAATTCCTCCAAACAAAAATGTGATCAGGCCTATCACAGCAGTACCCCAGTCCCTGATACCGATTTCTGCCTTAGTTAGGGTTTTTATTGCTGTGAAGAGACACCATGACTCTTAAAAAGGAAAACATTTAATTGAAGTGGCTTGTAGTTTGAGAGATTTAGTCTGTTATCATCATGGTAAGAAGCATGATGGCATGCAGGCAGACGTGGTACTGGAGAAGGAACCGAGAGTTCTACATCTTGATCTGCAAGTAACGTGAACTGAAACGTGTTACTGGGCATAGCTTGAGCATATATGAGACTATGAAGCCCACTCTCACAGTGACACACTTCTTCCAACAAGGCCATACCTTCTCCAACAAAGCCGCACCTCTAAATAGTATCACTCCTTATGAGCTTATGGGGGCTAATTATGTTCAAACTACCATAGTAGGCAAGCTCTATCACTGAGCATCTCTAGCCTTTTACATTTTTTTTTTAAAGACAAGATTGCACTATATATACCTGGCTGATCTTGAACTAGCTATGTAGACCTGATTGGCCTTGAACTCTGCCATTTTAATTAATTTTTTTGTTAATTTTTTGAGAATTACCTGAGTACTGTATTAACATCATTTCTTCCCTAACTTTTCCCCTTGCAACTCTTTCCTTGTCCCTTGCCCTCTCAAAATCATATCTTTTAACATTATTATTGTTTTACACACACACACACTGACATGCAGTTGGATTTTTCTTTGGACCACCAGCTCACAAATAATGACACTGAGACTTGTTAATTATGAATAGCTTAGGCTTGTTCCTTACTAACTCTTATAACTTAACCCATTTATGTTAATCTACATTCTTCCATCTTGCCTGTTTTCTCTTCATATCTTCTTGCTTCTCCCACAACATTCTGAGATTCATCTCTTTCTCCCTCTTTGCTTGGAAGTCCCAACTTTACCTCTTGCTTGGCTCTTAGCCATTCAGATCTTTATTAAACCAACTACAGCAGTATATCTCCACACAGTGTACAAATATCCTCTAACACAGACAGACACTTCTGAATATATAAATACAACATGCTGACCCCATTTTATATTGCTTGAATATGTTTGTTTTGGGGGTTGACCACTTTGACCTATCACGGTACTTGTCCCTGGAGAAGACTGATTTTTCTCTCTCTTAGCAGCCATTGATTGTCTGTGGCTCTTCATCTACAGGTGGGGCCTTATGAGACTGCCCTCATCCCTAGTGGGATGTCTACCAATGTCATTGTGTTGGTTTTGTTTAAGTAGCTACATTGTTAAGATTTCATGAGTACAGCTTTGCTAGGGTGTCTTGGTCCTCTGACTTTTATAGTCTTTCTACTCCCTCCTTTGCAGTATTCTCTGAGCCTTAGGTGTGCAGGTTGTGTTGTAGATGTGGGAATGAGTGCCCCACAGGTAGTTGTTCTTTGCATTCTCACCCATTGTGGCTTTTTGTGAGTCTCTGCTGCAAAAGCAAGCTTCTTTGATGAGGGGGGAAATTAACTGTGCACACAAGAATAGGTCTTTAGAATGTAGCTTGCAATTGTACTGGTTTAGCAAAGTGAAAGATTCACCTCTAGGGTCCACGACCTCATTAGCTGAAAGTTGTTTATAGTGCCAGACACGAATTCCCTCCAACTCAGTGAGAAATGAAAATTTTAAGCTTTAAATAAAAGAATATTTGAAAAGTCATATGTAATGATTATAAAAAGTTTCAGACATTGGGACTGGGAAGATGGCTTACAGGTTAAGAGCACTGGCTGTTCTCCGAGAGGACTTGGGTTCAATTTCCATCACCCACATGGTAGCTTACAACTGTATGCAACTTCAGTTCCAAGGCATCTGATACCCTCACGAAGACATTCATGTATGCTAAACACTAAAGTACATAAAATAAACATTTTAAGAAAAGTTACAGATGCAAAATAAAAGTCCAGTATGTCTGAAATGCCCTCTTTGCTGTCCAGAAGTTGCATGTGCTTCTGTGCCACTACAAGGAGAAATGTGACCATTAGGACACAGAAGCTGTGCTGTAGAGATGGGTAGCCTTTGCTGCCAAAACTGACACCTGAATTCAATCTCTAGGACCCAGATGGTGGAAGGAAGGAACCAATTCCTAAAATTGTCCTGTGACTGCTACAGACGTGTGGTGGCATGCCCAGTTTCCCCATAATAAATAAATGTAAAAGCATTCAAAACATAAACAGAAATAAAAACATGAGAGAAGGCAATCCGGGTGTGGTGGTTCATGTTGGAAACCTAGTGCTTTGGTAAAGTCGAGAAGATCAGGAGCTCAAGGTCAGCCTTTACTGCAGGCTGGGCTACAAGAGGCAAACACACCCCAAATAATCAACAGCAAAAGGCAAATAGGCCACTTTTTTGGCCCTATGCCACAGATCCTTCTCTTCTGTCAATCCATTTTTATCTTCCTGTTACCTTCTTTACAGTCTTAGCAAAGTAGGGAGGGGTCTGAAATAATGGACCCTGAGCTACTTGGAAGTGCTAGACATGTCGATGCCCAGTCCCATGTGTAACAGCCTCTTTATATCGTCTTTGCTTATAATGCAGGGTGTTTTGACATTTACAAGTTGGTAGTTTAGGTGGTTTTAGATATGGACTGAACTCTTTGATCTTAGGCATCTCATATTATGCTGGTGGTTTTATTTGTTGAAGAGTGAGTGTTACACCTAAGGATGCAGGTAGTCAGAGCCTATCATGCCAAGGCTCTGGGCTCATTTCTCGTACCACAAGGTAGAAAAGGTTCAAGTTGTGGACTAGCCAAAGATGATGAACTCCTTTTCCTTCTGCTGGGAGTGTAGTCTGTGCTACCACATGTTAAGAAGGTTAAGATCATGAAAAGTGAGCATAAGTAGGGCAGTGGTGCTGTGGAGGCCAAGGGGATAGGATGGAGAGGTGAACAGTCTTGCTGTAAACATGATGGTGTCGTTTTCTCCTTCCCAATCATATCCAACTAGTGTTATTAAGTAAATGTGTCACTGTCAGTTATGTTAGTTCTACTAATGTCACCCAAAAGTTCCTTCCTTTGGCTGGTTGTTTCTGAAGCATTTTCACCTTCTCCCCTTGTGCTCTGTTCACCTTTTTTTCCTCCCATCCACACTGCTCCTGCAGCTGCTCCCCCACATTGTATCTTTTTTTTTTTTTAAAGACAGGGTCTTGCTTCATAGTTCCTGCTTGCCTGGAACACCCTGTAAAGCACCATCATGGCTTCAGACTTGGGGTGCTCTGCTTCTGCTTCCTCTTTTACTTCTTACTTTCCATGCTTGCTACATGGAACAAATTCTGAGATATTAAAAGTTACAGTCTTCCTGGTCTACAAGAGTTAGTTCCAGGACAGACTCCAAAAGCTACAGAGAAACCCTGTCTTGGAAAGCCAAAAAAAAAAAAAAAAAAAAAGTTACAGACTTGTGCAATTGATTTAGAAAAATGTAAACATTAAATGTAGGATTCTTAAAACTTATCTTGCTCTGATTTCTCAGATGTGTTTGTGCTGAGCCATCTGACCCTAGCAATGAAACTATAGCACTGTGGAAGAGGAAGAATGTGACGGCAGAGAGCATTGTTTGGGGAAACCTCACTGTATCTGTAAGTACATTAGGGATTGAGAGATACTTTAGATCCGTGGGAACCTGACTTTTATCACTCCCTGTTTCCTTCTGGGGTGGTTTCAAGCTGTAACTTGTACTGACCTAGGATTTTCAGCAGTCTTCCTGTCTTAACCTTCCCTGTGCTAGAATTCAAGATGTGAGCTTCCATGTCCAGCTTTCTATTTGTGCTGAACTTTTCTTCTTGATAATGATATGTATATTGTTTTCAAAATACGTTCTGTAATTTTTTTAAATGGTCATGTTTTAATGTGCATCTATGTGGGTGTGTGCATGAGTGCAGGTACCTACAAAGGCCAGAAGGTGTCAGATTCCCAGAGCTGGAGTTTCAGGCAGCTGTGAGCACTCAATAAGGGTGGTGGAAACTACTCCAATTAAGAGCAAATATGCTCTTAACCTCTGAGCCATCTCTGCAGCCTCTTTTGTGTTTTTTTTAAGTGATGTGTAAAGCCCTAGACCAGCGCTTCTCAACCTCCCCAATGCAGTGACCCTTTAATACAGTTCCTTATGTTGTGTTGACCCTAACCATAAAATTATTTTATTACTATTTCATAACTGTAATTTTGCTACTGTTATGAGTCATAATGTAAATATCTGATATGCAGAATATGATATGCATAACTGACCTAGATCCAGGGCCTTACACATACATACAAGGCAAGTGCTTTACTACTGAGCTATAACACCAGACCAGATGTAGTTTCACTAGAAATTTAATGACAGTTTTGCTGCTCATGAAAGACCATGTTTCACTCCCAGGTGTCAAGTCAGAGCTGAATTAGTTGCCTTTAATTTTTCCTACTTTCTCTAGGGTGAGTGGTAAAGCCTCATTTATTTCAGGCTGCCATCTGAATATAAATAGCAGACTTGCCTTGAATTTCCGGACCTTCAGCCTCACCTCGAGAGAGATAAGGATCACAGATACGTGCCACTGTGCTCCTCTCCAGTTGTCTTTTAAGGCAGTGCTCTGTTCCTGCTCCCTTAGCATCTATAAAGAGTGCAGTAGTGATTTTCTGTCTGCTGCTTTTAATTAAACCAGCTGTCAGACAGTGCAGTTGTGGCCTCCAGGGATGCAGAGGAGACATTTCGGTTAACAGTCACTGTGAGCCTTTCTATAAAGGGAACATGCAGTTGAAAGGAAGGGGAACCTTGGCAAAATCCTCCATTGTGGTGATTTTTAAAGGAATATCATAGTCTTCTAATTCTGAGTAGAATATAAAATTGATGCCTTAGATTCCACCATATTCATGAGTACTCTATTAGATACTTGAAAATCTCCATGTCCTTCCTCTCCTGTCCTCCCCTCCAGGAGTGTAAGACCTTCCATGGTATGTTTGTGGGGTCAGCCTGTGGTCCTCACGGGCCCTACGTTCCCGATGTGCTCTTCTGGTGTGTCGTCCTGTTCTTCACGACGTTCTTTCTGTCTTCATTCCTTAAACAGTTTAAGACCAAGCGTTATTTTCCTACCAAGGTAACTGGATTGAATTTTGGTAATATTTGTGTTTTATTTTCTTTTGATTTATTTCAAAGCAACAGTTATTGATTAAAGTTATTTTTTTATACTAAATAGTTTAAAAGAAATTTTTTTTAGTAAAAAATATATCATCTGGGTGGTAGTGGTGCATGCTTTTAATCCCAGCATTAGGGAGGCAGATACAGTCAGAGCTCTGAGTTCAAGGCCAGCCTGGTGTATAGAGTTCTAAGATAGTCAGAACTGTTGCACAGAGAAAACCTGTCTCGAAAACGAAAAGAAAAACAAGACTCTACATATATTGCATATCTGGGCATAGAGAAGGAAGATCGTACTGTGAGAAAGTGGAGGGTAGCTGTGACTTTTTCTTATGCTTCGGGATTAAGTGGATAGGCATATGTAGCACTCATATTAAAAGTCTCATCCATACATTGGGGACATATTTTATGAGAAAGACATGAAGTATTTACAAAGTCCAGGAAGTAATTCTATGTTTATGTTAATGTAATCTCTACTGTAGGTACGATCAACAATCAGTGACTTTGCTGTATTTCTCACAATAGTAATAATGGTTGCAATCGACTACCTTGTAGGAATTCCATCTCCTAAACTTCACGTTCCTGAAAAGTTTGAGGTAAGTATTAAAGCAAGTGGCTATTTGTTTTTGGAAATGCCAAACTACTTAGTGAGGAAAGGACTTGAGGCCAGGACATTGTTCTTATTAGGCAAGAGCTCTTGTGAACTGCAGTCAATTTACCTTTTGCATTGACAAATATTAATTTAAGTTTTAGTAACTCCTGTCCTCCAAGCACTAGAGTGATTGCTCTAAAAATCAGTTTCATGTTACATCATTGAAATGTGTTTGATCTGATAAGGGGCCAGATTTTTGTCTGTAGTTGTTCTGTGCCAATTCTGACTCAGTACCATAACCTCCCCATAACCACTAGTTTCAGGACTCTAACCCAAGGTACGTTAAGAATTGATACAAAAGAAATTTATTTCACTATATTTGGAACTACATAGTTTCAGGCCAATCTAAGCTACTTAGCAGCACCTTGTTTGTTATCCATAATAAACAAATTCAAACAAACAAACAAAAAAACCCGAACCCCAAACTGCTAGTCTCTTAGCAGTAAGCCTCTGTTCATAACTCTTTGAAGATTGGGTTTGCCCCAGTGGGATGTGGTCTAGTCAGTAGGTCCCATGCCTTTCATGTGTCTGATTGGCTGGTGGGGACAGTCTGGCTGAAGGGCTGAAACAGAGAATGGTGGTGTTTCCCTTCCCTGCTTCTGTTTGTGTCTTCCTCTCCAGGAAGCTTACTCAGAAACACAGTCATCTCAGGACTTCAGGAGGGTCAAGAAAGCTTCAGGGTTTCTTGAAGTCCAGACTGTACATGTCACTTTGGTCTTACTTTGTATATAAGTTACAAGATGATCTTGAGTTGATGGAGAGTTGGCAGGTTCCATAACAGGGCATGCTTGTAGACACAGGATGAAATTTCTGTCACTGTCTGCAAAGAATTTACCACACACCCTAATTCAGCTTTTCTTCTATCCCTTGGCATTTCATGGAATGTGTTGTAGAAATCTAGTATAGTAGAGGAATGAAACATTTTTCTTTGTTCTTAAACTTTAATAGCCTACTGATCCAAGTAGGGGCTGGATCATAAGCCCTTTGGGAGATAACCCTTGGTGGACATTGCTAATTGCAGCCATTCCAGCTCTCCTCTGTACCATTCTCATCTTCATGGATCAACAGATTACAGCTGTAATCATCAACAGAAAAGAACACAAACTCAAGGTATTCTCAGAGGCTTCTTTGAGGGTATTTTCTTTAATAGCAAGAATACTTAAAAATACATTTGAAAACTAGTTTCTTCCTTCTTATAATTAATTTGGAACTTCAATATAAAGGAACAATCTAGATTTACTAGTGTTCGTTTCTCTCTTCAGAAAGGAGCTGGCTATCACCTTGACTTGCTCATGGTTGGTGTCATGTTGGGAGTCTGCTCTATCATGGGCCTGCCGTGGTTTGTGGCTGCGACAGTGTTGTCTATAAGTCATGTGAACAGCTTAAAAGTCGAGTCAGAATGTTCTGCTCCAGGGGAACAACCCAAGTTTCTGGGGATTCGTGAGCAGCGGGTCACAGGGCTGATGATTTTTATCCTGATGGGGCTCTCTGTGTTCATGACTTCAGCGCTAAAGGTAAAAACCCTTTGTGGCATGGTGGCAGTGTTAACATCCCGCTTAACATTTGTACGCAAATGTATGGAAATGAAACGTTGAAATATGTGTGGAATACGTAAAATCAGCGTGCACCCCCCCTCCCCCATAATTTAAAATCCATTCACGTTTAGAAATACTGTTCGGCAACAATTTTCTTATGGTAAACATGTAGATTAATAATTATGCCCTGTAGATTCGTCAGTTACAGCCTGCAGTTGGAAGGCGTTAAGCAGCATGTGGTTAGAACATAGTACAGGAAGTAATCGGAAGCAATAGGAGAAAAATGCTTTGGTTTCTTTAAAGTACTCTTAAGTGAATTTGATGTCCTTTCTTTGATAATAAAGCACATGAAATAAAAGTAATAAACATTAAAAAATAAAAAAACAAGATTACCAATGAAACACATAAGAAATTCAGTTAAATACATTTTTATCACATCCTTATTTTACAGAATATAGTTATATTTTACAGAATATAGTCATTAAAAATAATTATGTAGCATAGTATCTAATTTGAAACTTTTTCTTTATCATGTAAAAACCCAACTCCATATTTGTCTTTGCTATTTTGGTTATTTTCTTGTAAAGAAAATGGCTGACTAAAAGCTGGCACACTACAAACTAGAAGAGACTTAATGTATATTAGCTTTAAAAGGGTGTTCTTCATTGATGAAATGCCATGGGCTTGTGTTGTGTACTTTTTACTAGCCAGTTTAAGTGCCGTGTGTCTGGACTGCTCTCAGTACCCTTCGCCACGGGATAGCAATAAATAGGGTGTAGTGTTGTCTTCCTGCAGGGACTCCACAGTTCGCCCATGAAATGGGCAGTTGTGTAGTGCTGAGTGTGTTTTAAAGGAACTTGGAGACAAAAGAACTATTTTATGTAGTCTTCTGAAGGTGAGGGCCCATTGAAGCTCTTTGAAAGTTGCCCCTGAAGTCTTATTATAGTTTCTAAATTTCTAATGAATTAAATGCTGTATATAAATAGAAAAATTCAACTCGTACATGCAGAAAACTCTACAATAAAACTTAGTCTCTATTTTTTACTTTTCAAAAGTAACTCCTCAAAGACAATTTTTTTCAACTTGGTGATTTAAATTTAAAAAAATTGTGTGTGTGTGAGAGAGAGAGCACGCGTGTGCACAAATACGGGTACACGTGCAGTAGTGACCATGAAGGTCAGAGAGAGAGAGAGAGAGAGAGAGAGAGAGAGAGAGAGAGAGAGCGCACGCGTGTGCACAAATACGGGTACACGTGCAGTAGTGACCATGAAGGTCAGAGAGAGAGAGAGAGAGAGAGAGAGAGAGAGAGAGAGAGAGAGAGAGAGAGAGAGCGCACGCGTGTGCACAAATACGGGTACACGTGCAGTAGTGACCATGAAGGTCAGGATGGGCTCCAGAGACCACTCTCAGGCTGTCTGGCTTGAACAGCATAGCGAGGAGGTGAGCAGGCTTGCTTTCGTCCCACCTGGCTCCTGCACAACTGACCTGGCTGCTGGCTCCATCGCGTCTGGCTCACCTTTCTTCTTCCCAGCATTATGTTCAGTCTACTCTGTCTATCTAAATTCTGCCCTATCAAGCCAAGCAGTTTCCTTTATTAATTAACCAATGAAAGCAACAGATAGAAAGAAGTCACTCCCACATCAGAATAGCAAAAACTTTCACTCACGGAGCCACTTGTTGACCCTCAACTTTGTTAACTTGCTCTGGTAATATTTGGGCGTGGTGGCTTATGTCTGCAGTCTTAGCATTTGGACAGAAGTGAGGTGGGAATGGGGCTATACAGAATTGTTGTAAGTTAGTGGATAGCTTGGGCTACATGGTTACTTCCAGGCCAGGCTAGACTCAGTATGAGTCCCTGCATTGAGAGGGGCTGGCAAGATGGATCACTTAGTAAGGGCATTTGCAGATGCCAGGTTTGACAACCTGAGTTTTGTTCCCAGAACTCACATGCACATGCCTTTGACCTCCTTGTGTGCATCAAGACACAAGGGAGGAAAGTAAGTTAAATTATGCTGGTATCTATCATCATTGTAATCTTAAATATTGTTATAACTATAACTATATATTTTATTTAGTTATATATTTTGATTTTTTGAGACAGGGTTTTTCTGTAGCATTGGTTCCTGTCCTAGAACTCGCTCTGTAGACTGGACTGGCCTTGAACTCACAGATTTGCTTGTCTCTGACTCCTGAGTGCTAGAATTAAAGGCATATGCCTCCACTACCCAGCCAATATATTTTTTTTGATATTTATTGAGCTCTACATTTTTCTCTGCTCCCCTCCCTGCCTCTTTCCTCCCCCAAGGTCCCCATGCTCCTACAATTTACTCAGGAGATCTTGTCTTTTTCTACTTTCTACTTCCCATGTAGATTAGATCTATGTAAGTCTCTCTTAGTGTCCTCATTGTGGTCTAAATTCTCTGGAATTGTGGTTTGTAGGCTGCCCAGCCAATATTTTTACACTTATGTTTATATTGACTCATTTTTCGTAGATATTTTCAGTCTGCTTCAAGGACTGTTGGAGTCCCTGTTGGAGTCCCTGGCATTCTGTCAGAATTCCACCAGGGCCTTCCATTCCAAGGGCTCCATCCTGCAAAAGACAGCACTTTCTGTGTATCTCATACAGAAGAGCTTATTGTAGTGAATTGCTGTAAACTAAACACAGTTGCAAGATGAATACTCCCTGTCTCTTGTTAAGCAACCGCTAAAGAGATTTACAGAAGTGTAAAGCAGTGCTAGCCCTGAATTTCACTTTGTTTTAGAAATTGTAGTCTTTCATAGAAATGTGTTATGGGTGTGACTCAGTTTGTAAAGTACTCATTATACAGGTGTAAATCCTGAGTTCAGATCTCCAGCACCCATGGGTAAAGAGCCTGTCATCTTATCACCCTGGAAATAAAGATACATAAATCCTCTGAGCTTATTGGTCAGCTAGTTTGCCTAATTGGTGAGCTCTCTAGATTTGGTAGGGGACCCTGTCTTCACAACAAAACAGAAGGTAGAGCATGATAGAGGATTGCACCAGACAGTTCACATCCACTACACAAAGACAAGTGTACCCCCCACACAGATAGTGTTCTTTATGCCAGCTTATCCTTGTTATCGATATTATTGCTGTTATTTTTAAGTTGATAATAACTATTTAAAGTATCTTTTAATTATCTACACACACAGCTATTGTTGTAATAAGAGCAGCGGGGCTGCGTCCCCAGCACCCCGGCTGCCTGCTAGCTTATGCCCGAAATAACAACACACAAACTGTATTCATTTAAACACTGCTTGGCCCATTTCTATCTTGCCTCTTCTAGGCTAACTCTCACTCCTGGACTAGCCCATTTCTAATAATCTGCTGTAGCCCCACGAGGTGCGCTTACCAGGAAAGATCTTAACCTGCATCTGTCTGGAGTGGGAGAACCATGGCGACGCTCTGACTCAGCTTCTTTCTCCCAGCATTCTGTTCTGTTTACTCCTCCCACCTGTTTTAACCTATGAGGGCCAAGCAGTTTCTTTATTGCTTAACCAATAAAATCAACAGATTGATATATGACACTCCCACATCAAGCTATGATTTCTGACAGAAGGCCTGCCAGCATAGGTGTTTGTTATGTTCACCCTTCAGAAATTTAACTACACAGCAAGCTGGTGCATAAGCTGAAGTACCGAAAGGCTGTTTTGTTTAAAAAGTTAACTAGGTTTCAAACTAAACTGTTGACTGAAGTGCCCTTTCTCCTTACTCTTGAGTGCACTCTCTTGATGAACAATCTGTAGATCAGTTGACTCTCTAATGTATAAACAATAAATATGTTTCCTTCTTCTGTGTAAGAACGTTGGTCCAATCCTTATCAGAAAATAATTTTCAATTCTGTCACCATAGTTACTCATTAATGTTTCTGTATATTTATTATTGTAAAATTATTTAGTACAATGAGTTCTGATTGTAGTAATTTTATTTACAGTTTATCCCAATGCCAGTTCTATATGGCGTTTTCCTTTATATGGGAGTTTCATCACTGAAAGGAATCCAGGCAAGTATTTAATAATGACACTATTTAAAAATGGCAAAAGCTGTACTTGTGACTATTTTTTGTCTTGTTATATCAAATCAACATTTGCTGAGTGGATTATTGCTTACTGCACATTTTTACTCCAAAGAATGAGATGATAATTCACCTACTTTAATTTAAATCCAAGGGAACGTCAGGGAAGACTAGTTTAGTGAGGGGAGGGTCAAAGGTCAGAATGAAAAGACTTTACCCCCGGTGGAGAACACTTTCAGCATTGAGACGGAAAGGATATACAGACGTTTATGTCACAGTGAGGCCTAGCACATTCGCTGTGTTCTGTAATTCTTACGATGCTGACTGATGGAGGAAGAAGGAGCTCCTGTTACAAAGCAGGACGTGAAACTGGACTCAGGAACCAGTGCTTACCTGTGCTCTGTGCACACAGTCTGCTAAAATAGACTCAGGTGTGTACAGACCCGAGTTAAAATGTTTAGACCAGCAGAGCCCCATGGTGGCCACTTCTTCTCACAGAAACTGTGCCATCCACAGTGACTCATTGCTGTGAAAATAGCTGGCAGCACTTCCCAAAGCCAGCACTTAAAAAAAAAATTATGTCTCCCATGGTGAAGAAATGATACTGTCTCACTCACTTGATTTTTATAGCCATTTTGTCTGGTGGGTAGGTTGATTTTACCTCTGATTTATAAATAAAGAAATTACGTTCAGAAGTATCCAATGTATGAATTGGTGATTTCTCTTCATAACCTTAGTGGTATTAAGCTTGAAGAAACCTCAGAAGACTGTTAGTATTTAATTGTGCATATTGAAAACAGTTCAAAGACATTCAGTATATTTGAAATTGGACCAAAGTAAAATATTTTACCTGTTTCGTTTTGCTTTTTTGAGTCAGGGCTAGCCTCCTAGGCCGGTTTAAACAGTCGTCACCCATGGGGTAGGATTATAGGTATATACCACCAGCCCTGGCTGTCTTGATCTCCCTCCCTCCCTCCTCTCTCTCTCTGAGATTGTTTCCTGAAACATTTTTCTGTATTATCAAAACACCAAAGAACTTATAGTTTCATGTAGCACAAATACATAAAACCCTAAAAGTTGGAATTTCTTAAATAGCAAAAATGGTTTTTGTTGATAAACCTCTTCTTTTTGTTATTTTACATGTGTAGTTTTTTGACCGCATCAAACTATTTGGAATGCCTGCCAAGCACCAGCCGGACCTGATCTACCTCCGCTACGTTCCCCTGTGGAAGGTGCACGTGTTCACTGTGGTCCAGCTGACCTGCCTCATCCTGCTGTGGGTAATCAAAGCTTCTGCTGCTGCAGTCGTTTTCCCCATGATGGTAAATTTTCAGATTTATCTTGTTACTAATTCATAATGTAATACTCGTTTTCATGATAACACTTAAAAATTTTGTTACTGACCTTGCGGAAAGAAATACCTCCTTTAAATATCTTAAGTATTTTAAAATATAGACAAACTGTTTCTATCAATTAACTAGTACTTTGCATTCCGGGTATTCTTCTCTTACTCTGCAGTCATTTATTTTTAATATCTTAGCCCTTGGGATATAAGGCTCTGTTGTAATTCTATGTAACTTCAGAACTTAGGACATTTATAGAACAAATGTGATTGGCAGGTGCATAAAGCCAAGCAGCTATAAGATATCTTGGCTTTGAAACGGCATGCTGTAATGTCTTTCCTAGAAACTACAGATCTGGAAGTGTAAAAACTTAGGAAGTCCATAGAGGGTTTTAATAGGACACAGTCCATACAATTCATTAAATCACCATTTAGTATTATTTTTTTGCATAAGAGCTATGCAAATAGGTATTGTTTGTCCTTTTCTGGGTACTATATAAAAGGCAATTACTGACTTAGTTACAGAAAATGTTAAGAAATTCAACTGTTAGGACTAACTGAGCAATACTGCCTACCCGATCACAAACAAATCACATGCCAGTGAAGCTATTAAAGCAAGGTTACAGATTAGGAAATTAAATCCTATTAAAATGTCAAGCTAAAGAGCAATCAGGGTTCCCTGCCCTGTGGGAAGTCCAAGGACCACCCACCTCCATCCAGATCTAGTAAGGTGAGCATCCAAGCTCTTTGGGCTGATGAGGGAGGGGGACTTGATTGGGGGAGAGGAAGGGAAATGGGAGGCGGTGGCGGGGAAGAGACAGAAATCTTAAATAAATAAATAAATAAATAAATAAATAAATAAATAAATAAATGTATGTCAAGCTAAAGAATCCTATGGATGGGCTAGAGAGATGGCTCAGAGGTTAAGAGCACTGACTGCTCTTCCAGAGGTCCTGAGTTCAAATCCCAGCAACCACATGGTGGCTCACAGCCATCTATAATGAGATCTGGTGCCCTCTTCTGGCATGCAAGCATACATGGGAGGAATGTTGTATACATAATAAATAAATAAATCTTTAAAAAAAATCCTATGGACTTAAGGAAAGAGCATCATAACGACATTTCTAAGGTGTTGAGCACAGCTGTATACTTGAAGGAAGATGTATATCACATGGGCTTTGTTATCAAGGAAAAATAAATGCAGCAAAAATCAGGAGTGGACCAGTGTCTCCCAAGTCAAGAGTAGAAAGAAATGAGAGCATAGAGTATTTGTGTAAGCTTAAGAAGAAAAGACTTGTAGCCACAGATGCACAAAAGACCCAAATGGACTTAAGTTCATAGACATCTAGAATGCAACAGTTATTAAGTAATTTTCTGTAAAGGGCCAGGTAGTAAATATTTTAGGCTTTGTAGATCAGGAGAATATTATGTAGGTACTTGAATAATACAAGAGAGAAATACATGTTTATAGTTTCTTTGTAGTAAAATTAAAGAAATAGTACTTCTTTAAAATGCAAGACTTCTAATGAGAAGAATGCCATTGTCTTTTTCTGAGGGAACATTTCACTCAGGTCAGGTTCAAGGACAATACTGCATTTATTGGTGAGGTTAGGGGTGCGACTTAGTAGTGGTCTTGTCTAGAATGTGTAAAGACTAAATTTGCTTCTTAGCACTGAAAAGAAGATGAAGAAATCTCAGAATTATTCCAAGAGTTGTCTGTAAAAACCATTCTTAGTTCATGAGCTCTAGAAAAATGGCTGATGGCCCAGGTTTGACTTAGGATCAATGAGTTGTCACTTCCTGATTTATAGGAAGTGGATTATTGTCATACTGTATATGAATTTTCACAAGTAGCCCAAGGAAAAGGGTTTAGTAGCTGAGAGTACCAGGCTCAGTTTAATGAACCGTAAAGATCAGACAGTCTGAAGCCAAGAGAAAGCTGTAAGCTTTTCTCTGGAAACACTAGAAAGATCTCAGCACCAAAACCTGATGAAGTTGTGAAAGATCTATGGCATTTTCTATGATTAAATTGGATCAGCTTGAAATGCTGGTACATATGCTCAGCATTATTTCTTACATCGTATACCATAATAAAGCAGATAACAATGCTTTACCATTAAAAGGAATTATCAGCATATTATAATTATATACCTTTCACCCCTCAAGTTAGAATCTAATGAAAAAAGAGTAAAGAACCATACGAGAATTAAAAACTGTTGTATTTGAGTATCTGGATAAGAACATAGCAGAAGTAGTAGATAATGTCTACCTCAATAGTGTTAATCATGGGAAATAAAATTGATTAGAAGTGACCCAACTCGAGAAAATGTTTAAGGGTAAGCTGAAATAAAAAGGATAATATTTTTTAAGGAAAAAAGCTTTGAAGTAGTACTTATGTCAATTTCTTACAGCTTTTCTGCAAAGTTTGACAAAACTTTGTGTGACTTAAAACTATAAAAATTATTATTACAAATATTGGAGACTAAAAGTGTGAAATCGGGTTGTAGGCACAGGACCGTCTGTGAAATCTGCAGGGTGTTCTCTTCCTAGCTTCTTGCTGTGTTGCTTGCCCTGTAGCTGTTTGGCTACAATCTGAATTGTCCCTGCACATCTTCCTGTGACTCTGCACACGGCACGACCATTTTATAAGGGCACCAGTCAAAGTGTTCTACATGTGTGTTTCGAGATGGAGCTGGTATCATTGTGAACCAGATAAATCATTAAAAACGTGGTTTGCAAAAGCGTTGTGCGTGTGGGTTACATGTGTAATTGTTATGTGCATCAGACAGTTTCCTGCTCGGCTATATGTAAATTATATTCTTTTTAAAAATCAAGACTTATAAGTTACAGAAATCAGTTAAGCATAATTCGGAATGGAGTCTTTCTGATTGCCTAACTTTCTGTGTTACATCATGTTGTCTGGACAGCCAAGCTTGGAAACTTCTGTTAGGTCCATACAATGTGGAACTGGTATAGCACTGAATGAGGAGACCAGAGACATAGACTAATGGGGTCAGAGGTTTGTGGTTATATAGAACTGTATTGGTACTGGAATACCATGGACAGATTATTTTATTAAAAATGGTCATTTCCTTCATCAGAAAGTTTAATATATAGTGTTGAGAAAATTATCTATATACTAACATCTTAATAAGGAAGAAATCCTAAGTGAACTCAAAATTTAAGAGGTAAATGAAGTTGTAGTAGAAAAGTTAGGATTTTATATACATATGTGTGTATACATATAAATGTATATAAATACATACATTCACACACACATATACATAAACACATACATACATATGTCTATCCCAGTGGCTAGAGAGACTTTTTAATGAAAATGGGAAAACTTAGAGGTAAAAGAAGGGTAAATATATTTAACCATGTGAAGTATTTTTATGTGATAGGCGACATTTAAACAGAGTAGAGCTGTAGAGCTGTGAACCAGGAGAAAGTATTTGTAACACAAAGTAGATGGAAGGTTTCTACTACACTAAACAGTGCACTAACAAGTTAAAAGCTACTTTTAAGGTAAAGGGAAAAGAAGTAAAAGATAAACTTAGCAGCAGCAGTAATAGAAAGCCAGTTGGCTCTGCAAACATACAGGTTCTAGCAGCTGTCATAGGATAGGGAGTTCACATCCACCCTTTCCTCTCCACTCAGTGAATGACAGAGTTCAGGCCTGGAGCAGCTATTCTAAGGCCTTACCTAAGGGTTGCAGTGTTGTTTTATGGTAGGTACTTACATCGTGAAAATCTTTATTGAAGGGGGCAGAATGGCTTTTTGATTTTATTCCTATGTGTTGTTTTGAGTATACAATGGGAAGATACAAATAAATAACTCAGTTCCGTTCTAGTAAGTGTTAACTAACTTTTAAGCAAAATGAATGTAGCATTTCCTGTTATGTATAAGCTTTAGCAATCATTTGCTTTTCTCTGTCAGTGTACGTATTATGTTTCTGTCTCTCCCATCTTCTTTAGGTTCTTGCACTAGTCTTTGTGCGTAAGCTCATGGATCTGTGTTTCACAAAGAGAGAACTCAGTTGGCTTGATGATCTCATGCCGGAAAGTAAGAAAAAGAAAGAAGATGACAAAAAGAAAAAAGAGAAAGAGGTAAAAAGACACCTTTTAGTGTTTGCAGTGTTAGCAGATCCTGTTACCATCGCTGTCGGTGCATTTTATCCCTCAGAGAGTCTGGGAAGCACAAATACTCCATCCTGCTGTGCTGAGATGAGGCGCAGAGCTGGGTGATGTCACTCACATACTGCTTCCCACTGATTTCCCAGTCTTGCTGTTGTTTAACTCTGACACAAGAATACTTTTAAAAAATTGGATATTCTGGCCGGGCAATGGTGGCACACACCTCAGGAGGCAGAGGCAGGCAGATCTCTGAGTTCCAGCCCAACCTGGTCTACAAAGTGAGTTCCACAAAAGTCAGGCCTGTTATACACTGAAATCCTGCCTTGAAAAACCAAAAACAGGGAGGGGTTGGGAGCATATTCTGTGAATTAAAAAATGCAAGAATTAGAGTTTTTAATAGTACTAAAAATTACACAATAATGTCTGATTTAATCTTAAATACATTGGGTATGTTAGTGTATAACACAGTTTACAGTATTTTAGTCATCTGACGTAGTACACTAAATAAGTTTAAAGGTGTTGAAGACTATTAGGGGCTGGGGAGATGGTCCATTAAGTAAAAGCTGCACAGGCATGAGGACCTGCGTTCACAGCCCTTAGCACCCAAGTAAAAAGCTGGGTGTGGCTGTGTGCAAATGTGATTGCCACCCTCTGGAGGCTAGAGAAGAAGGCTAGCTCCAGATGGAGCACACAGCTATATAACAGCAGTACATGAAGAATGATGGAGCAGGACACCCAGTGACCTCTGTTCTCTATAGGTCACACACACAGACACACATGCAAGGGAATGAGCCTATAATCAGGCATAAGTCCCTTACATTTTTTACGCTTTTGGGCAGTGACTCATGGTGCTGCCTTTGAACTCTTGGGTTCCAGAATCCTCCCACCCTAGTCTCCAGAGTATCTGGAACTAAGGCGTACTACCATCCATGCCTAACTATATTTTTAGGTTTTTGTTTTTCTTTAAAAATGCATTTATTTATTGTTTTGTGTATGTGTTCATGCTCAGGATATGTAGGTGGAGGCCTGTGTGCCACAGCACACATTTGGAGATGAGAGCACAATTTTCAGGAGTTGGTCTTAGACCGACTTTTATGTGGGTTATAGGGTCAACTCAAATTGCCAAGCTTGTACAGCAGGTACCTTTTCCTGGTGAGCCTTCTCTCCAGCCTGGTTTTTAATTCTAATATTCAGTAGTCTGTACCATCGTTAGTTAATCTGTACAGTGATATTTGAAAAATAAATACTTTATTCTGGATTTGGTGATTTTTAATTATGTTTGTGCTTTTACTGACTAGGAAGTAGAAACTAAATATGGTCTTGTTGGTTGCAATACTTTCCTCAGTATTCCTGTCTTAGTTACTGTTGCTGTGAGGAAACACCGTGACCAAAAGCAACTTGAAGAGGAAAGAGTTTATTTTATTCACAGTTCATTATCAGAAGCAGGGAGAGCAGGAACTGATGCAGAGGTCGTGGAGGAGTGCTGTTTAAACTACCTTGCTTCCCTTGGCTTGTTCAGCCTGCTTTCTTGTAGAACTCAGGACCACCTGCCCAGGGGTGGCACCAGCCACAATTTACTGTGCCTTCCTCCATCAATTGCTAATTAGAAAAATGCCCTACAGACTTGCCTACAGCTGGATTTTATGGAGGCATTTTCTCAGTTGAGGCCCCCTCCTCTGTAATGATTAACATGTATCTAATTAACATAAAACTAGTTGGCTAAATAAAACAATTTCTATTCAGAATTTTGTTTGAAAATTAGGTGAGAGATTCAGTTGTTTGTTTCTTGCTGAAGTGAGCTGTGTAGCTGATGCTAGCCCATTCTTGTGCCCATTCTCCTCGGCCATCCCTACTCCAAGTGCTTGGGATACAATTTGTGCACCACCATATCTGGCTACTCATTTTTAAATGTCATAGTCTTATTTAAATATAAATTGGAAAGGGTATATTTCTTAGCCAGAATTATAACTATTGTAATTATTTGAATGAGGTTCTAATTTTTTTTTAAAAGAAAGAGTTTTGTTTTCTTTAATATTGCATGCATAAACATGTAAGCTTCTGGTAATTTTTCTTCATGTAGGATATTATTTATTTGTAAAATACAAAAAATAAGCAGGTCATATTACTTGTTTTTTGCTTTAGTTGATCCAGAAACATATAACTTTAAAGAACAGATGTGAAAATGTGTTTTAAAAGTCCAGGAATCTATTTTCTATCACAGTAGAAAAGAAGCAATGGGAAGAGAACACAAGGCAAAATGAACATTATTCTGTTTTTCAAGAGCCTTTCTAAAACTGTCATTCAGTAAGTTGCTTATGCAGTGTCTTCCCCACTGAGTTGCAAAGAATGCTGGGAAATTAGTGTAGCAGTTTTAAATCAGGGTGCATTGTAAATTGTGTCAATTGTATGTAAATGGTAGGATTTTTGATAATAGGGAGCTGAGATGAGCTTGATGCTCTTTCTATACTTCTTTGCGTCTTCCTCCATTATTAAGGGGTCATTTTTATCCATGTTTATGTTGTTGTTCAGATGGTTTTCAACCCAGGATGATGTCCTCTCCAAGGGACCTTTTCAGTGTCAGAGACACCTGGAGAGGCTGCTGCTAGCATAAGTTACATCTGGACTTGAAATGTTCTGTGTCCACAGATCTTCCACTAACACCGAGATGTAGACTGAGAAACTGCCTAATATAGATTAGCTTTTACTGTGCCCTGTGATGAGACTTGAGACGTCAGTTTTCTCCCCTTGGCTATGTATAGCTAGTATTCAGACTGAGGTCATACTGCTTTTCAGACAGCATTAATTAATCATTCTCAGAAATAGAGATTATACCTTGGGAAATAAATTTCTACCAATAGTTCTTATAATTTCATGCTATTACGTGTTTATATTGCCACAAGAAGTTTTCAGTTAAGACAGATAGATTGTTTATATAATGCTGTCAGTTTCTTTAAGGTATTCTTAGTAACAGACCATCCTGGGGATATTCTGGAGAAAGTAATCTCTTCATGTTTGTGCTCTAAAGGAAGCTGAACGGATGCTTCAGGATGATGGGGATACTGTGCATCTTCCATTCGAAAGAGGAAGTCTCCTACAAATTCCAGTTAAAACCCTAAAATATAGGTAAGATACAGCTTTGTTTTGTACAGTATATATATTTTTTTCCGTGTGTTGAGTTACAAATGAAGCATGTAATATTTCTTTGAAATAATGCTGAGTAAATGTTTCCCTAGGGAAAACACAGTGGCAGGTTGGAAGGTTTACCGTTTTCAGCCTGGACATTTGTCTTATGTGATGAAAGTCTAAGAACCATTCCAAGACTTCTTTGTCATGCAGTTCTGTGGTCTAAATGTATGTGGTTGGTAGCTTGAGCAGTGTTCCACTAGGTAGCCCTAGTTGATCTAGAAATCTGTGCATACCAGTTTGGCCTCCAGTTTACAGAAATCTGTCTCCAGAGTGCTGGCACTAAAGGTATGTGCCACCATGCCCTGCTGCAGTCTTAAATATGATTTAAAGTATGAACAGAGGTGGATTTTTTTTAAAGCAACTGGTATCAATCACTTATAATATAGCTGCTATTACACTGTTATTTTAATATTATCTAATTTCTTCTTTTTGTAGTGTCTGGTATTGAACCTAGGACTCTGCATGCTTGGCAAACCATCTCCCACTGAGCTACTGCCCCAGCTTTTTTTTTTAAAGTAGGGTTACTATTGCTATGATCAAGCATGATAACCAAAGGCAACTTGAAGAGGGAAGGATTTATTTTGCTTCCTTTTCCATATTACTGTTCAAAGCTGTCAGGGCAGGAAACTGAAGGCAGGAGCTGATGCAGAGGCCTTGGAGGGTTTTGACTTAACGGTTTGCTCTCCTCATAATTTATTCAGTATGCTTTCTTAGAGTACCCAAGATCTCCATTCCAGGAATGGCACATTTTAGAATAGGGTCCTTCCCAGTCATTCACTAATTAAGAAAATGCCTAAAGGCTTGACTACAGCCGGTTTTATGGAGGTATTGTCTCTATTGAGGGTTTTTTCTCTATAATGACTCTAGCTTTGTCAAATTGGCATAAACAAGCCTGCACACCAATTTTTATAGTTCATTCTGAAGATAGGATCTTACTAAGTTGCCAGCTACCCTTAGACTTACTATGGTATACTGCTTCAGCCTCTGCCTCCTGGTAGCTTGCATTACCCACCTCAGTCATGTAATCCAGTATGACATTTGTGTTTGTAGCTTGTTTGCATGAATTGTTTTTCTTTTGGTTAAAAAAAAAAGGACTAATAAATGTATTTCAGTTTTATCTATGGAATGTCATATTACTTGTGACCAATGACAATGAATGCACGTTATTTGTGGATGTAATTATTGGATTAGGGGTATAAAGTCATTTTGCAGTATTTTGTAGAAAAGTTACATTTGACTTTTATAGTAAATAGGCAGTATTACTATTCTTTGATTTTGATATATCTGATGAAATAGCACTTTGACACCAAGACTATGAGAATATCTAGCTAAACAGTGGTGGAGTCATTTTTGTGCCATCTGCTATGTTCAGAGCTTCATTGTCAGTTGTGCTTTTATTCCAGCATAAAAAAGATTTGCAAAAGAAAAACAAAAGGCTTTTTGCTGTTGTTGTTGTTGTTTTTATATACTGTAGTTTATTACTTGGTGAGAGTGTGGGTTGTAAGTGTTTTGACTAAATTTGTACAGTTTTAGGCTTTTAGACACAGTAATTGGTTTTTATGTTATCTCAATGATCACAAGGTATCGTGGCTGGAATACTGATGAAGAACTATCTAAATTGAAAATGAAATGGGTTTTGCTAACATAATCAGTCCTGCTTAGTTTCAATGGTAAAAGAACTTGGAGCTCTCTGTGAAGACTTGATAGCAGTTTGTAATACTTTGTTAGATCATAGGTTTAAGTGCATGCCAAATGTTTTCTCAATTTTAAATTGATGAAAACAAGAAATTTTATGATGCTAATAAAAATGACAACATTAATGCTTTTGCAAGTACTGGATACTAACCACAAAGTGTATTTGTTCTTCAGTATTGACCCTTCAGTTGTTAACATATCAGATGAAATGGCCAAAACTGCCCAGTGGAAGGCACTTTCCATGAATACTGAGAATGCCAAAGTAACCAGACCTAACACGAGGTAGTTACAACTGTTTATGGCTTTGTAACTGTTGCTAGTGTTCACTCATATTAATTTACCTAATGTATCTAAATATATTCTCCTTACCGGACAAAACCAATCCTCTCCCCATTTCTTTCTATCTGTTCTTCTACTTTAATTGTGGTCTGATGTGGGTTATAATTGTTTTTTTCCTCATGATTATGATTTGTAATTCTTAAATTTACAATTGTGTATTTCAGAATTTTTTTTTACCATTTTGTAATAAAAATTCTACAAAGCAGTGCATATATATTTTTGTGAATATAGTTATATTCACAAATTGGATATATATTCATAATTAAAAGGTTTAATGGAGTATAATTATATTCAAATGAAAATTATATATATATAAAGATAATTGCTAAGAATTAAATTAATGTTTCTGGGCATAGTGGCTCACACCTAAATTTCCAGTCCTCAGGAGGCAAAGGTAGGAGGAGGGACCCTTGTTTTTTTTTTGTTGTTGTTTGGTTAGTTGGGTTTTCAAAACAGGAGTTCTCTGTGTAATAGCTCTAGCTATCCTGGTCTTGCAGACCAGGCTGGACTTGAACTCACAGAGATCCACCTGCCTCCACCTCCCCAAGTGCTGGTATTAAAGGTGTGTGCCACCATGCCCAACTCTTTATCATATATTTTTTATCTTTTGTTTCTTGAGTTCTAGTTCTGAGCTTCACTGTTCCTTCTTTCAGTTTCTGACTGTGATCTCTAGGGTTTTACAAATTTTTGAACTTCACACTGAGTGCCACCTCTTCACATTCTTACTGCACCCTTGACTCAGTGTTTATGGTGTTATGGTGAAAATAAAGGCTATGTAGTAATATCAGTGTGTCTCTTTTATACTTAGCTTGTCATGTCTACTCAAAATCACATTAAAGACAACATCCTGGCTTTACTCATGCTAAAAAAAAGTGATGTGTTGGGGCTGGAGACATAGCCCAGTGGTTAAGAGCATTGCCTGCTCTTCCAAAGTTCCTGAGTTCAATTCCCAGCAACTACATGGTGGCTCACAACCATCTGTAATGAGGTCTGGTGCCCTCTTCTGGCCTGCAGACATCCACACAGACAGAATATTGTATACATAATAAATAAATAAATATTTTTAAAAAATGTGATGTGTTGGGAACAAGAAAGGGCTCTAAGAGTTAGAGCGGTGACTATGGTAAAATACGTTATATTCATGTGTTAGATTGCAGAAGAAGCAAGAGCAGACAGGTTGTAATAGCAAGGTGTAGGTTGGTGTTAGCACACAGTATAGGTATTCTTTGTTGACCATTTAAGAATTTAGGATCAATTCTTTTAAAAGTAATTTTCTCCTCATTGTTTGTTTTAAACAGCCCTGAAAAACCTGTGAGTGTGACAATAAATTTCGAAGATGAACCATCAAAAAAATACATGGATGCTGAGACTTCATTGTAAAGCAAACCAAAAGGAATATATAGAGATATATACCCGTCTGTCTGTATGTATGTATATATGTGTACATATATACACACACACACACATATATAAAATGCACATGTGTCGTGCCATTGTGTATTACAGTGCTGCTTGTCACGCTGTTTATGCGTGACTGTGGGTCTCTTTGAAGTAGCACCTGACGTTGTGAGCACCATGGAGACTGTATTAATGAAGCGAGGTACATGGTTTTTACTCTTCAGATAGTTATTTTTTGGCGGGGTAAAGCCTTTCTGTTCTGCAATAGAAAGATTTGGAAAACTGTATTCAATCTGCTTTTCTTAAATTTTTTTTGTCAGTGGCAATCATATCAACCTTAAGTGATACATACTTAGTCTATATATTTATAATTTTTACCTGGATTTTGAGAGGTTATTGTCTCCCTTTTCGTAGTTTTTATAGGTAGAATCAGGAGTTTGCCCATGTTGTGGGAAATGGCACATCCTGGCTTCTCTCTGAGCTCCCTTCACGTAGCTGTCCATCATACTTCACAGGGGATGAACCTCCAGGTGATTATAAATTATCGGAGACTTTCAGGGTAGGAAATTGATATCTTAGGATTTATTTTTAAATTTAAAAATTTATCTGGGCTTCCATTCTGATGGACAAGTTAAAAACAAATTCTGTGTGACTTCTCATTTAACACCCACACCATTCACAGCATTTTGAGTTTTTTAAGAAGCTATAAAGTGCCCATTTGCAATAGTTAAATTTTGTTACCTTTGTAGTAAGGCTTTTCCAATACTTATACTTTTCTAGAAACCCAGAGTCCCACTGTTCTTGTCTTTGCTGTCTTTTACTTAAAGTGGTCTTGTGTGTGTCAGGTTCAGATATCTTCTGTTGTAAGTAGTAATAAAGAGTCTGCCCCCTTCACATGGGCTTGTGATCAGTGCTCCTTTGTAAGAATACCTTTCATTATCTTTTGTTATTCTTTCTATTGTATGCAATGTATTTAATAAGTTTTTACCCACAATATCATTTTTAAATATTTTATTTATTTTAACTGATGTGATACTTAAATATTATATAAATATTTGAGACAGTAACAACTATAGAGTAAATTGTTCCTGGTGTAGCTATTTGGTGCTCACTTGCATTTCTGTTTATTACCTGAAATCAGTGACAAACTTACATCTTTGATATAAAGCACTGCCATATTTACATTTTAAAAGGAAGTTGAATATTTTCTCTGCAGCTCAGATTAGTGACATCGTTCCTGTCCTGTGATAGCATTGAGGTTCCAGTATTTCTGAGCTGTCTTTTAAACATGTAGCAAATTGTCATCTTTTATATACTCTTAGCTCCCCACAGAATAAATAAGTGCTCTTTTCAGGCTGTGGACGAAATGATTGGGGCTGTGAGAATGCTATGACCAGAGAATAGATAATACACAGAAATAGCGAGAAGCCCCGGCAACATTGATGTGATGGGACATTAAAGTTAGAGCAAATGTTTAAGGAAATTCTCATGTTCCTTAGTCATTTCAAACTAAAGTACAAAAGTGTGATTAGTCTTTAGATCAAAGGAATAGAATTGCCCAAAGCAGGTATTTCTAGCAAGTTTGAAGTGGTTTTAGTTCATTCTAAACTATGTACCAATTAGTGTAATTCCCTCCCTTGAGAGCAAATACTGGATTCTAGGTAAAATAGTAGTTGGCACCATCTGGTACTATCTGAGGAGTTCTGTGGGATTCCCTTAACCTATGATGGGGAGTATTGCCGTGGTGCTGTGGTCACTGATGACCTCCACTGAAGTGATTCTCTGCATTCAGCAGCGTAGTGATTTCCAAAGTCCCCATTTGCTGCTATTATAACCCTCTGATGCGCCCAGACGAGAGAATTTCCTCATATCGTTTCCTTGTGGCTGGACATCAAAGGGTTAACATTTTGCAGGAAGTGATTTTAAAATTTAAACTGAAAACTACCTGGTATCAGAATCTTCCTGTGAGATATATATATATATATATATATATATATATATATATATATATATATATATTTCCAGTGCCAGGAAAAAAACAAACAAAACAAAAACCATGACTTATAAAATACTTTGCATCTAAGATGTTTCACTGTGGTTTTGGTTGTTAATGGCTTCTCCTTTCTTTTGACTACTTGACTCACAGTGATCTGATACGACTACTCCTCTGAAGAGCAGAGGGAATCGACTGCTTCTTTCAGATGGTTATGTTTTTGTGCTATTTTTGAAAATAACAATCATGAATAACACTCATTGCAAGACAGCAAGAGATAATTTGCTATATATACTCTATATATATATATATTGATTTTTAAATGCTGCCTTAAATAGGTGTATATGAGCAGTAGTAATTGCTATGTACTGATTTACCTCAAGGTGCAAAATAATTAAACTTGTAAATACCCATTTACAAAATCAATTCAGAGAAAAGCCCTGCACTTTTTTAGATGCCTTGATTTTCAGAGTAGAGCTTAGAGCTACTGAACACCACGGCCGTGGAGCTGCCTCAGGATTCTCTTCCCTCCACCATATTTTATTTATTTATAGATGTGTGTTTACAGAGACTATAATAAATCCTGGTGTTAACTATCTGAATTTACTTCCTTTTTATTGCTGTTTCAACCTAAAGTAGGAGCTTTTGAGAAAACAGTAAGTTAGCTTCCTGATGCTAAAGGGGTGATTCTGTATCTATTTTTAATAATCTTAGATATGCAAAAGTGAAGTACAAGGTCTTTAAGACATTGTGAGTGTTCGTGTATGTGTGTGAAATCACGCTTAAATCTCTTAGCTTTTTAAGCTTGTGGCGTACCAATGTTCAAATTTGCCAAGCTTTCTCTAAGACATGTAGGATGAAGTGTTTTTGTGTGCTAAAGCATGTATTTATTACAATTTGTTTCCTGCTGAGAATCACTAACTCTTGTTTCTCCATTCCCCAAAGTGTTTGTTTCTTCCACACACTGAAAGTTGTGGCTTGAGTGTAAGGTTTCTGGCTTTCCTTTCACAAAGGCAGGTTCAAAATTCTGCAGAAAGAACAGTCACCGACATGAGGTGTCCCACTGAGTTCCTGTTGAGGTTTCATGAGTGTGCACCGCTCAGCAGTTCAGAATCTGCATCCTGACAAAGTGCTCAGAGTGGGATACGTGAGCCAGCTATCAGCAACGTGATTCAAATGTGTTTACATGAAGTCAGTTACATGTCTGAGATTGATTCACGTAGGCTTTATCATTGTTATCATTTGTACTGCAGAGAAGTGAATCGTCTTCATTAATCAAACAGTTACTTATTTTTAGAAAGTAAATGCATTCAAGTTTTCATATAGTGTTCCAGTCACAAGATTTGATTGTTTTCATTGTAAGGTCCTTTTTAACTTTCCGAAAAGTAAATTGTCAAATAAAATCATGTAAAGATTATTTTAAAATTGTACATGTACTTAGACTTCAAGCCCCAATTCTATGGTTTTTAATCATATGTTTTGCACATTGATTGTTTATGTGTAGCTTTCTTATGTTCCTTTGTTTATTCAAAAATTTTGGCTTTGTAGGGGTAATGTGTCTTCCAGTGTTTACTATGTTAGGTTTAAATTAAAATTCAGATTTATTGTCCATTTATATAATATTTGATACCTTGGTGTGATTTCCCAATACAGTTACAATGTTTATGGTGTTTATAATTGCAGTGGTATTTTCTTTTGTAATAAAAAATCCAAAGTCAATTAAACAAATTGTAGACCTGATATTTTTCATTTATGTGAAGTACAAGTCTACCTGAGTCTATAATGTGAGCCATCCTGCCTTTCACATTTGTTTCCTAATTTTTAGAGAAAACTATTTTTTGTAGATGTTATTGAAAGTTGAAAGAGCAATAAAAGTCTGCATAGCAAGTTGTTGGCTGCTGTTTTTACTGTTATTAGGAGAAGCTACAGGTCTTTCTCTGCTTACAATGGGAACAGGGAGGAAGGGAAAGGAATGGCTTCTGCTTCCTGCTTCTCAGTCCTTCATATAGAAGAGAAAGACAGAAATAACATGTTTTTATGATGACATTTTTATAGTTAGGAAATGTTGAAGGTAATTTCTTTCAAAAACTGGTCCAGTTTTTCCTTCAGTTTCAAACCTAGAAACTTGTACTATGTGCTGTGTTATCATTTCCCTGATAACACTGACCTTTCTGCTCAAGGCCTGTTCTCTTTTGGCTAATTTTGTTTTGATTTGGATTGTTTTGCCGTTGCATGTAACACTTTGCTCCTGTTTTCCATGCAGAGAGCCTTGAGCCATCTTATAAATTTGTTAAGCCATGGGAGTGAGATGAAGACAAATGTCTATAGCTTTGGAGCATTCTGTTAGAGTTGAGAGATACTTTACACTTACCATACAGGCTGTTTACCAGGAAGGCGTTCCTCTCTAAGGCTGTTTAAGTGGTGCTGCTGCCTGCTCTGAGCTTGAGCTTGCTCTCCTCATGATGGGCCTGTTTTTCCTGTGCTTGCAACGGAGATGTTTCCTGTGTTTGCAAAATGTTTTCTGCTTTTGCTTTTCTTTCAAAGCCCATCTAAAGGTCTACAACAACGTCAGGATCAGTGTAATCTCTGTTATCCCCCCTTCCCGTGTGTGTTTGTGTGTGTGAGAGAGACAGAGACAGATAGACCTTTTAATAGGCCACGGATCTTGAAAGGGTATTCAAACATTTGATATTGGGATACTATGTTATCTACCAAGTACATATTTGAGGACCATACAATCAAGTATCAAGTTACCCCGCCCCACCAAAACATGCCTGAAATTTTCTTTTCATAATATTGTAAGTTTACTATTTTGTATTGGACTGTACTGAATGTCAATTCTGCAGTGCTCATGGCCTCTGGGCCACAGGTTGGACACACCTGATATTTTTAGAAAGTTTATAATGCAGTTTTGTCTCAAATTGATCCAAATATCTTGGTGTAGGTTTCATTTCCCTTTATTTTCTTTTAGTTTTATGTTTTAGTGTGTGTGTGTGTGTGTGTAAGTGCCCACCAAGACCAGAAGGGAGAGTGTCAGATGCCCCAGAGCTTTCTTGCAGGCAGTTGTAAACTGATGTCCATGTTGGGAACTGAACTCCTGTCCCCTGCAGGAGGAGCAAGTGCTCTTAACCACTGAGCCATCTCTCCAGTCTGGTTATTTTAGGCTATAATTAGGACTCAATATATTATACTTTATGTAGTTTAGACATTCATTTCAAGATAGTAAAGGAAAGAAATAAAAACAGAAAATGGGCAAGTGTCCTAAGATGGAGCTGCATAGCAGGGTGCACCAAACTGCTCCAGCTTGTCTCTTATGGAGTCATGGGTGCACATCACACATCCTGGGTCCTTACATTGGGGCCTTAGCCTCTGGGGAGTCACGGGTGCATATTTTACACAGTTTGGGCTGCACCCTTCCATGTTTGGAGATAATCACCTGTCTTCCAGAGCCAGAGTGCCATGCTGTCTTTGATGGAACATTCATGAATCGTCAGGGTGGTCAAAGTAGTAATTTCACACTTACTTTCTGGGGAGGTAGAAAGGTGGGAAGGAAGCACATTGGGAATCCCACTAAAGACAAGTCCGTCTTCAGCTAGTCACTTTGACTCCCTGTTTGGTAATTCGTTTACAGAACTGTTTTCTACTCCAGCTTTACTGCCTTTTGTCTTTGGTAGAATTAGCACTGAGGGTTTTATGCCTTCAACTTAGTGCTGTGTTTGCCTTAATTCCCATCTCCTCCCCCATGCTTTCAATTCCAGTTCAGAACTGTACTTTAAAGTTTTTATGTGTTGATTTTTGTTTTGATGTTTTTTGAGGCAGTGCCTCAGGGATCCTAGGCTGACTACAAACTCCTGATCCTCTTACTTCTATGTACTGAGTTGCCCCAAACCCCAGTATTCCA